TTCCCCCGACCTTTCGCCCTTCTCCGAAACACAGGGTTCGTCATATGCCTAGAGGCAGAGCGGCCCTAGCCATTTCGGCGCCCTGTGCAAAGAGATGCCAGTGTCCCCCTACCCCCAAACACGCACGCACTCGCATTTTTATTTATCAGGATGGGGCACTGTAGTATAACTCAACCATCCACTACTAACATTACATGAAATTTAGTTGTGGCTCTCATGGGGGCCCCTTCATCGTTAACAGTCTTTTCAAGCTAATAAAAAAAGCAATTGATGAAAAGAAGTTCTTGCTAACTCTGCGCAAGAGATGCAGTTAAATGGACTCAACATCATGAATCACTTGAATTTTTAAGAAGCTCAAGGGTTTCCTGAAAAAAGCTAAACCTTATTTTTTCCTCGTGTGGATCATGTAGTCTATGTTTATGAATTTTTTGGGACCTAAAACTTGGGGGGTCACGGGCTTTCGGTCTCCAAGAAAAGAGGTAGTGGAAGTAAACAGTTTGAAAATCCCTGTCTTAGATCAGGTAGCAAGTGAATAAATATAGGGCAGGCTTCTGCATCGGCTGTACGATAGCGTAGCTGTGATAGACGTGAAGTGCATGATGCTCGTTGGCAGGAACTCTCCCCTTGGTTATTCCACTCTCATAATTGGAAAACCAGTAGTGAAATTATGTATTCAGGCACAAAGCCGAAACCCTAAGATGGTCGGGCACACGATGATAAGATGCCCGCACTCACCGGCAATAATTCAGTCTTGTCATCAGTCACCCATAGCAACTTCTTAATAGAAGAATCACCATTACCGTAATAGGGGGTTTTACGTTCTCGACAGATGCGGTGCGAGCGCTCTCCGATTTGACATGCATAAAACGGTAATATGCCTCAGCCTCGTGCTGGTATTGAAGAAGCCGACAATTTGCCCTGTGCGAGGGCAAATATGGCACACGCTTAAGGGGCCATGCACACTGGCTGCGAAGAGCTGCGTTGCGATCACTGCGACCGTCGCAATCGTTCGCATTGGAGATGCGTGGGGCCTTCGCAGTCAGTCGCAGTCCGCTTCGCAACGGAATCGGATGATTATATCCTAACGCATCTTCGCAGTGTTCGAGCTGCGTAGCTATTGACTGCAATTTATGAAATCCTTGAATAATTTGGCGGCTCTTTCGGTGGAATGACATCGGCGGTAGATCATGCTGATGCATCATTGATTCTCCATAAACGAGATACATAGCTAGAGTAAATAAATCTTCAAGAAAGGTCTCGATATCAATTATATTCCCGATGATTTTCCATGGTTTCATTTCATGAATTCTAATTTTAATTTTATTTTACGTTGAGAAGCTCTTGTTCTTCGAGTGCAAAAACCTGAGTCGTCTCCTCCTTCAGGAGTGCTGCATGATTTTTACGTATTTGAGATATTCAGAATATATGTATGGAGTATGCATTTACCCAACTCAATGACTCTGCCACTATTTGCGTGGGGAAATGTATGGTCTGAAGCTTGTGTCCTGCCCTCTCTTTCAGCAGATCAAGAAGGGTCTTCAACAGCTCAAGAGACATTCTCACGTTCATAGGAGAAAAACATTGTCTTCGGTGATAATATTTTCTACTAGGGTCTCGAATTGTCCCATCTCATGACGGGATCTGTGTACAGGACGTGCCTATAAAAAAGGCAAGTGTTGCAGCACGAGTTCTCAATTTGTACACAGCCATATTTGATTTCGCTTGAGAGCTCTGCGACGGTCGCAGTCGGTTGCAGTCAAGAAATGACTGCGAACTTTGCAGACGATCGCATTGCGGGGTTTTTCGCAGCACTTTGCAGTTAGTGTGCATCGGCCTTAAGGCTGGTCCTGTCTCGAGGGATTTTACTTTTATCTTTCAAACTGACTTGAACCCAAGCAGGTCTGCGCTCTGTATTCGGTACCCTCTACGTCTCGTGACGGGGGGGACGGACCTTATGATTTCCTGTCGGCCTTTTCTTCGCCATGCGGCCTTTCACCCCTGGACCGAGCTGTGATTTGCGTGCTAAGCCAACGTCTTAGACTGTCACCATCTCTTGCATAAAACATGAAATCTGCGTGACAGATTATGGGTGCATTGCCTTCCCTGCTTCAAGGTCAAATCAGGTCGTTGCCCACCGCATGAAAGAAAATCGAACCAACACTCACGCCACCTCTGTTAAAGATTCTCAAGAACTGAATATAGCATTGCGATAATTTATACGAATACCATTATTTTTCCAGGTTTTTGGAGCTGCAGACGAGTCGTCGAAAGGATGAGATTCGATTACACTNAACGGGCAGACCAAGTCCAGGTTGAAATCTACGTGCTGTCGCAAGACGTTCGGCGCTAAATAACTGGGGTAGCCCGCAGACACAAATGAGATTGACGCCAATAACCAAATCCAAGGCGTTGTCTGACCCATTCTTCGAGTCACTGTGGTAAGAACAAAAAGTAAATGCATGACTCACGCTGGGAGACACTTTTGGAATAAGGGAGAAATCTAAGAGCACAGACCCTGATCAGGAAGTGGCGAAGGGTAGAAGACTTTCGACACGGGTCGCGTCAGGAAGATGACTGATGCCACAAATCCTCTAACACTAAGGAAGGCAGAAAGCTTTTCTCGCTTTTTCCCCCTACCTTTCGCCCTTGCCCTTCTTTTCGCCCTTCTCCGAAACACAGGGTTCGTCATATGCCTAGAGGCAGAGCCGGCCCTAGCCATTTCGGCGCCCTTTGCAAAGAGATGCCAGTGTCCCCCTCCCCCCAAACACGCACGCACTCGCATTTTTATTTATTTATCAGGATGGGGCACTGTAGTATAACTCAACCATCCACTAGTAACATTACATGAAATTTAGTTGTGGCTCTCATGGGGGCCCCTTCATCGTTAACAATCTTTTCAAGCTAATAAAAAAAGCGATTGATGAAAAGAAGTTCTTGCTAACTCTGCGCAAGAGATGCAGTTAAATGGACTCAACATCACGAATCACTTGAATTTTTAAGAAGCTCAAGGGTTTCCTGAAAAAAGCTAGACCTTATTTTTTCCTCGTGTAGATCATGTAGATCATGTTTATGAATTTTTTGGGACCTAAAACTTGGGGGGTCACGGGCTTTCGGTCTCCAAGAAAAGAAGTAGTGGAAGTAAACAGTTTTAAAATCCCTGTCTTAGACCAGGTAGCAAGTGAATAAATATAGGGCAGGCTTCTGCATCGGCTGTACGATAGCGTAGCTGTGACCAAAGGCATAGACGTGAAGTGCATGATGCCCGTTGGCAGGAACTCTCCCCTTGGTTATTCCACTCTCATAATTGGAAAACCAGTAGTGAAATTATGTATTCAGGCACAAAGCCGAAACCCTAAGATGGTCGGGCACACGATGATAAGATGCCTGCACTCACCGGCAATAATTCAGTCTTGTCATCAGTCACCCATAGCAACTTCTTAATAGAAGAATCACCATTGCCGTAATAGGGGGTTTTACGTTCTCGACAGATGCGGTGCGAGCGCTCTCCGATTTGACATGCATAAAACGGTAATATGCCTCAGCCTCGTGCTGGTATTGAAGAAGCCGACAATTATCCAGGGAAAGAGAGAAGTGTCACTCCTTACTTTCCAAAAAGACGCAGAAACGGGGGAAACAAAAAGTCACATTCTTGTGCCCCAGGTGAATTTGACGGGACACGCTCCCGTTTATACCGTGTGCGAATTCCCCGGTACGTGTGACCGACGCTTCTCGACGCAACGCTAGTGACGCTGGCAGCGTTAGCAAGCGTAACCTCTACGCACCCCGGAAGCGTCAGAGTCGCAGTCCGCTTCGCAACGGAATCGGATGATTATATCCTAACGCATCTTCGCAGTGTTCGAGCTGCGTAGCTATTGACTGCAATTTATGAAATCCTTGAATAATTTGGCGGCTCTTTTGGTGGAATGACATCGGCGGTAGATCATGCTGATGCATCATTGATTCTCCATAAACGAGATACATAGCTAGAGTAAATAAATCTTCAAGAAAGGTCTCGATATCAATTATATTCCCGATGATTTTCCATGGTTCCATTTCATGAATTCTAATTTTATTTTTTTTTTACGTTGAGAAGCTCTTGTTCTTCGAGTGCAAAAACCTGAGTCGTCTCCTCCTTCAGGAGTGCTGCATGATTTTTACGTATTTGAGATATTCAGAATATATGTATTCAGTATGCATTTACCCAACTCAATGACTCTGCCACTATTTGCGTGGGGAAATGTATGGTCTGAAGCTTGTGTCCTGCCCTCTCTTTCAGCAGATCAAGAAGGGTCTTCAACAGCTCAAGAGACATTCTCACGTTCATAGGAGAAAAAACCCATTGTCTTCGGTGATAATATTTTCTACTAGGGTCTCGAATTGTCCCATCTCATGACGGGATCTGTGTACAGGACGTGCCTATAAAAAAGGCAAGTGTTGCAGCACGAGTTCTCAATTTGTACACAGCCATATTTGATTTCGCTTGAGAGCTCTGCGACGGTCGCAGTCGGTTGCAGTCAAGAAATGACTGCGAACTTTGCAGACGATCGCAGTGCGGGGTTTTTCGCAGCACTTTGCAGTCAGTGTGCATCGGCCTTAAGGCTGGCCCTGTCTCGAGGGATTTTACTTTTATCTTTCAAACTGACTTGAACCCAAGCAGGTCTGCGCTCTGTATTCGGTACCCTCTACGTCTCGTGACGGGGGGACGGACCTTATGATTTCCTGTCGGCCTTTTCTTCGCCATGCGGCCTTTCACCCCTGGACCGAGCTGTGATTTGCGTGCTAAGCCAACGTCTTAGACTGTCACCATATCTCTTGCATAAAACATGAAATCTGCGTGACAGATTATGGGTGCATTGCCTTCCCTGCTTCAAGGTCAAATCAGGTCGTTGCCCACCGCATGAAAGAAAATCGAACCAACACTCACGCCACCTCTGTTAAAGATTCTCAAGAACTGAATATAGCATTGCGATAATTTATACGAATACCATTATTTTTCCAGGTTTTTGGAGCTGCAGACGAGTCGTCGAAAGGATGAGATTCGATTACACTACACCTATGCCGGAATGGCATCAATTGAGACGTTCAAATACAAATGGGAAGCGGGGCAGTGGCACAAACTTGCCATCAGTGTGAGCGGGTTCCAAGTAGAAGTGTTTGTTAACTGCGAAAGGATCGGGAAGACTCGGCTTCCAGGACTCGACACCAGTTTTCTCATCCGCCAACAGCCGACTTCCCTCTGGATTGGACAAAGAAATTCACATCATCTCCTCTACAAGGTAGCCCCACGTACTGTATGTCCTATTCGTCATCTTGCTGGCTCCACACTTTTGCAGGGCCTAAAAACGAGCTTCATTCGTCATCGGTCTGAGTCTCCCCCAAGCTCTTTCATGAATCTATAATGAAAATCCGTCTGTGGCAAGAATATGACGTAGGGTTTAGCAATATCGAAACCCTGGGATGATAAATGGAAGGATGACCTTTTGCCTTACTCGAGGAAGATCGTGATTGGCTACCCTAGATTACAGAGAATCACAGCTGATACTGATAGCAGAAATGACGATGGATGATCCGGTTCATGGAGAATATTTATTCACATTTTGACCTTCGAAAGTTCTAGCTCTGCATTCATGGAATGCAGCAATAATGGGAGCTGTTTCGATTTCCATGGACCCTTCATATAGGCCCTGACGAGTTTTTTCTTTCATAATCCCGATAGGAAAACCATATGTGAATGATGGATGAGAGCGAATGGAAGGCGCAAGCTAAACGTATATAAAGAATTTTTTCTCTTTAATTTTTTTTTTTACTCTCTTAGTGCAGGATTTCATGCAATAAATGTATCGGTCTTGCAATTCAGCATCAAATCTCATGCATTCTTTAGTTCTAGGAGGGTTCAGGAGGGACGAAGGAAGGAAGAAAAAAAAAAGAAGGGAGCTTGGCACCCACCTATTATGGAATGAGTTTCTCCAAGGACAATTTGATCGATACTCTTCCTTAATGTTCCCAGTACACACACATTCTTCACATACATTCTCATACATGCACGCATGTGTTTTGCCTTTTCTTAGATTTCTACTTTATATGTAGAAAGAGCAAAAATGAAATGTCCTCGTTGGTTTCGATGAATGCAATATTCTTCACATCTAGACGGATTTCTCCACCCTTTATTTGTTTCTGACTTTGGTCTGGTCTTACGATCGTGTAACCGATGTCCTTAGAGAAATAGAAGTAATTGCTTTGCTGCTTTCCCTGGAAATTGGATTTGAGGACCTTATTTCCCCTTTCAATCTCTGCCATTGACTGTTTCACAAAGGGGCCCTTCTGGTGCATCATGACCGTTACACGACGCGTGGAATACAGAGCAGATCGTGAGTACAGTTCCGAAGAGGCCAGATCACCAAGAGGTTCTCACAAAATCAGATCATTCGATTCCGCGCAACGAGACGGGGATCTGTTTGAGTCTGATTACAGTATCAGGAATGAACAAATTAGTATCGCTTCCTCCATCGGAACCATTAGACATAGATGCCAGGAATGACATTTCCTGAAGAGCCAAAATAGGAGGGGAAAAGATGGGATAACAGAGCTTTATTATATAGGATATGAAGAGGATGGCCGTCCTCCCATCGTTACATTATGGAGCCGTGCCATCTTATCTCGCGTCGTGGAATTGGAATCAATGAAGCCCTTTCCCCAACCCCAAATGTAAGCGGAGCGAAGTAGAACTACCATACAGCACAGAGAATAAGTTAATAAGAGAAACGTGATCGATCTCCACGGAGTCGACCTTGAGACCTTCCCTCGAGTGCTTGAACAAAAGTTATGAAAGAGAATGTTGATACAACGCCCTCTTTTTTCTTCTCTCTCTTTTTCTCGTGCTTGCCCTGGAAAAAAATTAGGAGAAACCAAACCGGTCGATTCGGTTCTCGCGTAGGTGAATGTCTTCTGAAATATGCATAGGGTCTCCCGTCAATCGCCGGATATTGGAAAAGAGCCACGTGTCTCTGACGTAAGAAGAGCTGCAGCATAATTATGTCCGATGAATTATTGCAGGGAATCACGATATTTCACTCGTGAGATTCTCCCATATGACCCTCGAGTCACAGTTGCTGACACGGGAATCGGATCATTTCAGACGAAAGCCACGCATGCTGTCAGCATACTGCCACATATTATTTGATCGATGAGTGACCGATAGGGCGGGGTTGAATCCCGTTGGTTTATTGGTACATTTGATGTCGATCGATAGACAGGTGAGGGATAATGGTGCAATGTCAATCCCTGAAATATTATCCGTCAAGATGGTTGAATCGATATGGGGCGTCTATATCGTATAATCAACGTGGAGGACAACGACAACGAGCTCCATGTCCATCGTAAAACGAGGCATTTCTCTTTATGAGCCCATAACGTCAGAGAAGTGATCATCACGAGGAGGCAATCTGGGACGAGATGCAATGGACAATTTTTTTTTTCTCTCAGGGGAAACTGCAAGAGCTTCGGATAATCTCGGGGCCCGGAGGATTTCGGTGGCAATGTCCAAACCTAGATCCTCCTTGTCCTACCTGTGGACAATATCAACAGCTCACACAGATGGTCCAACATCTCAGCGACACTGTCACCCAGCTCAGCCAAAAGGTGAGAAAATGCAAAAATAAATTTAATAGGGGGTAGGGTGATTATCTCGATAATCAGCGTCCCCGATCTGGTTAAGGCACTATATCAGGACCGTTTTTGCTAAATTTGATTTTCATTTAATCTTTTTTTATTATCCTACTTTGGGAAGAAGCTGCAAGAGTAAAACTTGTAAAATATAGCTCCAAATATGAGAGTCGAACAGGTAACTTCTGAAGATTAGTCGAAGGCTTGTTTATTTCGTTTAGACTCGTTTCGTCTTCGGTCTTGGATAAGCAGTGACGCGCAGCCTGCGTGTTAGGGTTTCCCGCTTGCATCTCGGGTCCAGCAGACATTCGATTGACAAAGATGAATGCAATAATAAACCGATCAGCCGATAGATACATTCGATTCTTGGTGAAATTTTCAGCTGGCAGAGGCGGAATCGAGGCTGTCCAGGTTAGAAGAATGCGATTGTAGGAAACCATGTCACGTGAACGGATCTGTTCATCCGGACGGGGCTTCCTGGCAACAAGATTGCAACATCTGCTCCTGCGTTGTACGTGTTCACACTGTCTCGCGTCGTACACGCCGCAACTCGGGAATCCTCTCATTTCTGGGTTGTTTCTTTCACAGCAAGGATCAGTGACGTGCCGGCAGGTCCAATGCCCTGCCGTTACTTGCAAAAATCCCGTCTATACTCCGGGAGAATGCTGTCCAGTTTGTCTCAGTGCGTTCATGCGATTCTCTTTAACATCGATGTACTGTCTCAGATGTAAAGGGAGTCAATTGTAATTTTGGGTCGGTATTGCAGAACATTGTTACCTGGCTGGAGAGGTTCACGAGCACGGAGAGACTGTGACGATGAGGCAGTGCCTAGAATGCACGTGTAACGACGGTAGTATGGAATGTCGGAGATTGGACCCGAAACTCACTTGTCCCCCTTTGTCATGTCCAGTTCAACAACAGATCCTCGTCGAGGGACAGTGCTGCAAAGTCTGCCCAGGTCAACATATTATTCCTATCTCGACAATCCTCCCACTTCATCGTGGTGTGTGTGAGGTACATTCAGAACTGGTGCAGGGTGCAGTCTCATTCCTCATTAGGTTAATGACAGCGTTTGCATGCCTGATGACTGCTATTCTACCGCTCCTACCGTCATTAATCTCCGCCTCCTGTCGTTGACTGCATTGCATATTAGCCAAACAATGGTTTTTTTTTCATAGATCGTGCTTAACTGCCTATGGAGTAAGTGGAAGAGCTTAGAGGATAAATATACTCTATAAAAGGAAAATAAGAAAGTAAAATGCACTAATTGGATACGTTTCTGTCTTTATTTCCAAAACAGGAGTGGACTATTGTGGTGAGGGTCATTCTTGCCATGCCAATGCCACGTGCCTCAATCTTCGAACCACGTATGCCTGCCAGTGCAACCGAGGATTTACTGGAGACGGTCGCCTTTGCACAGGTACACTTCTAACAAATAGATAACACATTCTGTTCAGAAAGTCACAATGGACGCTATCGACTTAACCTCGGTTGGATCTTCTTGACAGACATGGACGAATGTGAGTCGGTGGGAGGACTGGAGGGCCATCACTGTCATGCCCATACACGGTGCGTGAATACGCCGGGTTCTTACGAATGCCAATGCCTACCCGGCTACGTGAAAGTGGATGCTTGGACGTGCAAGGAGCACGACGAATGCCAAACAGGCCAACATCATTGCCATCCTCATGCCACGTGCCGAAACACAGACGGTGGCTATGAATGTCTATGCAATCAGGGATACGTCGGTGATGGATTCCACTGCCAGCGTACGCCCTATCATGTTTCATAGTCGACCCTCTCATTTGTTTTCATGTCAAGTTTAATTTGAGGAAATTATCTTTGCTTTTAGCTGTGTGCGAGGAGGAATGCGTAAATGGTGGAATGTGTGTGGGACCGGATCGGTGTGCATGCAGAGGAGGTTTCACAGGTCCCCGGTGTGAATCCGACGTGGATGAATGCGAGTTGGGGATCCATGTATGTGATGCACATCCAAACGCGTTGTGCGTTAATCAGCCCGGCTGGTACTATTGCAAGTGTGAGCCCGGGTTCAGCTCTATCTTGTCGCCGCGCGGCAACAATCTCACCACTGCTGCCGCAGCCGTCCTCTGCCTAGGTCTGTCTCCACCTATTTAATTAATTATACTTCGCCCCCTCACATCTATCCTCTTCTGCAAACTTTTTTTTGTCCTATTCTAGAACTTTAAATTTAATATATTTTCCCTCTCGGCAATTATTTCCGACAGTTCATCTGTAATGGAGTAATGAATATGATAGTAACAGAAATACAGTATTTTTCCTCTTTGGAGTTAATATAACGCAGATTCACTCTTTCAGATATCAATGAATGCGAGAGCGGAGAGCATACGTGCCATGAGACAGCGAAATGTGTTAACACAGAAGGAAGTTTCCAATGCGTCTGTCCCGATTCAGATCTTCGAAATTGTACCCTTTGTAAGTTTCATTCCTCCAACTCGTATTTTATGAATTAGAATTACTCATGACACAACATCGTGGATTTCGTTGCGAATTTCAGCCTGTATGTACGAAGGCCAGGAATACTTGAACGGGGAGAAATGGTTGGATGAAAGTGGATGTGCGATGTGCAACTGTCAGGATGGTGTAATGCAGTGTGAACGAGTGGCCTGTGGTGACTGTGAAGGACTAGGGGAGGAAGAACAGAAGAAATGTTGCCCCAAGTGTTCTTCACCCTCCTCGTCAGTGTGCAGGCACCCTGAGGAGCCCTGGAAAGTCATTCCTCATGGACAAAATATCATTCACCAGTGTCAGACTTGTGAATGCTTGGTCAGCATTGATATTCTCCATATCAAGACTTTTGTTGATCTAGGGCTTTGATTGAGTTTTTTATTTCTCAGCAGTTCGGAGAGCTGGACTGTTGGCCCCTACCTTGTCCTCCTCTGCTCTGTGATAACCCGACCTATAGTGCAGGTGACTGTTGTCCTCGATGCCCAGATGACCCGTGTCAGGTAACACCGGGGCATTACAATGAAACTGGAAAGCCTTGCAATTACATGGGTCATCTGATGAAACATGGTGCCAAGTGGTCACCTCTTCATCATCATTGCACCACCTGCCAATGCCGGGTAAGACACCACTGGACTTACGTTGAAAAGCATTGACAGGGGTATTTAGGGGCTAGTCACAAGATATTCTGTAGATTTGGGAGGTGTCCTCTTACCCAGCAGAAGTGCTGACGGTTTAGCCATGTGAAAGTAGAACGTGTCTATAACAATTTTCTAAGAAATCTAATGAGTCGCTCATTGCTCACTGTTGACTTATGTACGAGAGAAGGCAGGAATAACTTTCGTTATCATTACATCTGAAATTTTACGACTTGGTTGTTTCATGCTTCATCTTAAGTAGTGGAGATACTTTACTGCCATGGCACTTTCTCAGACGAGATGGAATAACCGTATCCATGAAGAGCTGGAATTTTTATTTTTGCTGCATTGAATTAACAGCAGTTTATTTTCATCTCTTATCCCAGCATTCTTTGAGGCGTTTCCTTTCTCTAAATCGTTTCAATGTAAGTTGAGACTGACGTCAGTGGTAGACACATTCACAGGATGGCATTGAAGAATGTGATACTTCCCTCATGACACATTTTACGCTTCTGCATAAGGGATGCATTGATGGTCGAAAACCTAAAAGGGTTAAGGTTTCTATCATATATCAATTTCTATATTGGTATTGCATTCGTCAAGACCACCACTGTGTTCCAAAATGAGGACTAAAGCAGTGAAGTCGAGAGATTAATGTGCTTTGATATGGAGACCTAAAACGATTGGCAGAGCGCATATGCTTTACCTCTTTTTTTTTACCCTGTAGAGCGACCAACGTCAATACTTGTTTATGCAAACAGCACGCAAGAAAAACCCTAAGTCAGTTGCTGAATTGAAGGACTTCATTCAAACTGTTGCTAGTATACAAAAAGAAACACTTCAGAAAGTAATGCAAAACTTTTTTGAGCATTCGCAAATGTGTAGAGAAAAAGGGTGCACATTTTGAAAACCTTGTGTGTGCAGGACAAAAACTTTTTGTGTCTGCAGTAAATGTTGTTTGTTTCTATCTGCAATAATTAACTTGTTATGAATTCTTAAAATGTTTCCCTTTTTCGTGGTCCACCCTGTATAACCTTTTACGACGGGTTATCTTAACCAGCATACTGGACTGAATGCCGCATAGGGTTAAGTGTCTGCTGGTGCAAGACTAAAACCTGACTTAAATAAGATCCAGCATTCTTCAGTTTCTACCTGCGGACTGGTTTCTACTGCTTGCATCGCCTCAACCTGTGATGAAATAACGCTTAGTTCTCTTTTTATATCAAACTCTAACTTCCCAGAGGGAAAATGCATTATAAATTTTCATCCAGCCAGAAAAAAAATTATACTGTCATAGGTTAGCTGGGTTGCAGAAGTACTAATAGTTTCATGGTGGGTAAGGTTGCATGTTGAAGCAACAAGACTAACACCAAGTTGACAGGGAATGCGACTGTATGAGTATCGAGCAATATAGGGTGAATTTGGGAGACATGAGAGAGGTGCATGTATGACATCTGGCGGTGACAAATACCCATTTGGTTGTTTCCTTGCAGGTGCCGTTTTGTGACTTTTTGGTGAGCAATAGTGTTCCTCGGTAATGACCCGTTTTTCACATCATCATATAAATAATTTCCTATTCTTCTTCTTTCATCACACCTGGAAGGTGATGGGAAAACTCTATGCATGAACAGCCTAGCCAAAATGCACTTTTTCAACTGGTAATCAGGAGGCATGATTGCAGCCTAAATGTGAACGACACGTCAAAAGGAGTGCATAGTGTGGTTGAGGAAACACGCTCCATAGTTTCCTCTGGAACATACACAATATGGGATTGAACTAGCGGTTAACAATAAAAAGGGGAGAATAAACTTGTACGCCTAGAATTTTTAGATTCATGAGAATAAATCCTCTATAGGAAACAATGGAATGTTCCCTAAGCACCACGCTATGCAATAGAAACATATATGTAAGGTCTTTTCAGGCATGCAATGGCACGACTGCAACCCCCCACAAAACGGAGAGCAATCTTAGCAAATAAATTTATAAGCACGTCCCCACCTAGTGAATGCACTCTGATAGCACCCACTCTGTAAATAAGCGCAAAAGCAGTCTTTTTTTTCCCTCATAAAGTGTGTTCTTCGGGGCTTTGACAGCGCCGGATCACTTCGCACCTAATCTTGAATGTCACCCTGCACTCACTACTTCAACTGTTACTAACTGTACTAAACTGTGCCTTGAGATGTGCTGTCTTGGCTAAAATACCAGTGAATGTCAGTACAAGAGGAGCCCTTACATCTGCAGAAATTTAAGTGATATACTATTATTGCTTATTCATCAGAACGTTTGCAACAAAAATGGCAAGGGCTTCTCTCCTATATTTCCAATATGCAGTCCTTCAAGATCATGTTTCTCCTGTTACAGGATGGAAAGCTGTGCTGCACTTTCAATGCTGATTGTAGTATTCTGGACAGTTCAATGGATCCAATCAGTGTTGAGGAAACCAAGGAAACAGAATCCTATGATGCTCAAGCCCGCAAGAAACTCAGGCAGCTCTTTCTTCAAACACACAATCAACAGATAGCACACAGAGAACCATGACTTTGAGAACATGTCATGAATCACGTTCTCTTAATGTTACTCCTAGTCATACGAAAAGACTTGAATTTTATTTTCCCTAATCATGGTGCTATACCAAAGTGAATCCAAAACCGTGACTAGTAAGCTTCACTAGTCGTAGAATCAATATTCATCTACCTGGAAAGAATCTCATGTCTCTGCATACCTTGATGCTAGTCATTTTCCCACCTCTTACGTATGCTCTATGTTTTCTGATCATTTTAGCCATATCTAGGTCGATGTTCTGCCACAGATTTCACCAACAAGAGGTCCATTATCTTAATTTCCTATTTCAGAGTACCATGATATTGATGCATTTGCTTGTGACTCTGGTTTTGGTTTTTTCAGAAAGGATGAAGTCCAACATGGGTCACTCGAATCCCTTTTTTGCCATGGATGTGGTGGATGCCATATGCCATTCTATTTATTTCATGCCCATAGGCAAATGGTGGCACCTTGGTTTTGTATGTATTGTGAAGTGTGTAGGTGAAGATGAAGCTTGAAAAATGAACTGCTTTGGATTAGCAGAGAAAGAGATGGATATAGGATGTGTGCCAACAATAAAATGGCTCATTTTATGGACTTCTTGATTTTCATCAAGATAATGATATTTTATGAGACAGCCAATCTTTGCAAAATTACCTTTTATTTCTATGCCAAAAAACCAGATGGAAATCAATAACAACCCATGATTCCATTCCTATGATGGAGGACTCATGCTGAATGTAATATTGGTATGCCTATTGGCAATAGATTATGCTTTGAAAAAAAAAAGGTCTATGTGGGCACAGTGATCACAAAGTAACTTATCCATACATGAATTTGGGGAAGGCATCAAAACATGAATATAACCACCCTCTGCCCTGGAATGCTCCAAACAAAGGATTCATGAAACCGCAAATGAAATAAAGCTCAGAATGGAACAAACATGTGAAGAACTTTCCAAGTTCATGAGAGTTTTCAGCTACCTTGAAAAGGATGAAGATTCAAGGTGAACCCAGCTGTTTTTCAAGAAATTTATCAGTGGTATGTCTAAAACATGCTTTCTTATCTACTTTCATAGGGCTCCTGAACTTCAGAATAGATCAACAGGGCAGAGAAAATAACTTGGAAAAATAAATACCTTTGTTGTGAACCCACAAATAGCCAAGGCACATTGTCCACAGCACCAGAATCTGAAATTCATGTACAGCATTCCATATGTCATTTCATGAACATTTGCAAGCAAATATTACAGTGCACAGACAAGTGGATCTTCACCTGTTTTTCACAATATCCATCTGACTTTGGAAGGTATCACACATGCCGAACCACTCGAGGAGGGCTGAAAGCAGAAGCATGTAATCATATGAGCATTGTTTCTAAGGAACAATGAATGGGGGTGAGAAGGAAGGAAGCTCACCCTCTCTTAACAAACAGGCCCATTATTCTCTGAGAAGGAGAGGATGGTTCCCGAGCTGAATGGAAGAATCAATAACAAAGATAGATTTAACAAACACATCCTAAAGGAAAATAATAATAAAAAAGTCCTGGACTGACTTATTGTAACTTGTTGGTCAGGTAGGAGATTGGCAGCGGCTGCAGCAGCTGGGGTATGTGGAGACCGGCCAGCAGAGGAAGTCCTTTTCATCCTGCGTCTTGTACGAGACAGACGACTCCTCTCCAGTCGATCTGCCAACTTTTGACGCAATTCTTTCTCAGATTGCAACTTCACATCAAGATTGTAATTGAGCTTCTCAAGCTCCTCAATCCTGCAAAAACCATGATCAAATTTCAGTACTGTAGCCATATCAGCACATGATGCACCCATGAGGGCAGAGAAGATACAGCAGGAAACTTGAGGAGCACTCACTTATGGAACACATCAGGATCTGATGTATTGATAGAAGGATATTCTCCTTCCTTTTCATTTGACATGGTTTTACGTAGCATATACTCCCTCCTCAGTGTACTTGAAAGCTGTAGCTGAAGTGAATCCCTTTCCTCCATGAGCTAAGTAAACAAATCCAGATTCTTCAAACTAAAGTAGGAAGGAGGGAAGAATGACTTCAGCAACAGAACCTACCCTGACAATTTCATGGTTCAATTCCTCCAACTTGGCATCCCTTGCTTTCAGAATGTGCAAAGTTGTTTCCAGTTCATGTCTAAGGGCTTCAAAGTCTTCATCACCCTGTTGCCCCCATTTCTCCTGAGTTTCATTCAGGAGAACACTGCAGCGATCAGTTAGGATGTGTACTTTCTCACCGAGGTCGTCATTCTCCTGCCGCAGACGCCTATTATCTCCACTCAACAGTCTCACCTGAGCTTGAACTTCACGAAGACGTGCCAAATCCGAAACAGACACAGACATAACATCCACTTCAGCTGGCACATCAGGAGGAGACAGATCCCCACAGTTATTCTTATACCAATCTAATATTTGTTCCAGGTACACAATTTTGTCCATGAGGGGTTTGGCCATAGTCCTGTGATCATTGAGCTGGGAGCCAAGACGTAGTATTTCCTGATCTTTCTCAGAAGATTCTTGACACATTCGCTGAAATTTCTGCTGCAATTCACTCTCCTTAAACCCTTGAGCCATTTTGACTTGCAGACGTTCTTCCATATCCTTCAATTTTTCTTCCCTTCTAGCAATTTCCTTCTCCATGGTCTCTTGAACTTCGGCAACTTCTTCTTTCAGTGCAGCCACCTCATATTTCAGGTCCTTGATGATGGAGTTCTTCTCACTGATCTCATCTTCCAAGTCCTGACTTCTGTTGAAAAGTTCTTCATGAGGAAGGTCAAGTTCTGCAGCCTGACTCCGTAACTCAGCTACTTCTTCTTCCAGGGCTGCAATGTAGTCTATCTTCTCAGTCAAATCTCTGTCCTGGCTCTCAACCTTATTTTTCAGGTTCTGCATAGTGGCCTTGATGGCAAGTAGCTCCTTCTCCTTTTCATCCACTTCTTCTTGCAGAAGCCGAATCTGATCTTCAAATGGGTGAAATTCATTTGCATTCATCTCCCTATTGGACAACTCTTGGCTCAAGTCCTCAATTCTTCTCTCCTGTTCCTCCAGTTCCTTTTCCAATTTTTCTCTCTCCTGAATGTCATATACCTCCATGTCATGGCATTTCACTTCCAATTCTTCCACTTTTGCCTTCAGTATTACCTTCTCTGCATTGAGGGTCTCACATTGGGTTTGCAAAGTTTCCCATTCCTTCTGGTTCTCTTCCAATTGATCCTTTTGGTTCTTCAAAATCTCCAATTCTGATCTTAGAACACTCAACTGATCAGTGCTATCCTTCAGGGCCTCATCCTCTCTCGCCAGAGTCTCAATCTTATGTTGGAGGTCTTCATTATCGTGCCTCAACTTTGCCAACTCAGCAACTGCAACATCATGCTCCAATTTCACATTGTCATACTGATTCTGGAGTTCTGTGTAGTCTGAGTACATGGAATCATAAGAAACACGTAAGCTCTCATATGAAGATTCCACCTGTTGTTTGGCTTCCTCCATGGCCAGTAGGTCTTTGTGATGACTCTCATATTCTAAAAGCTTATGCATTAGTTCCCGGTTCTCTGTTTCCAAATTGGTTTCCTTACTCTGATGATTCACATTAGAATCCTTGAATTTTCCCAACCATGACTGCAAAGTTTCAGTTTCAGATGCCAAAGTCTCACACTGCTGCTTCATTTCCTGATTCTCCTTTTCCAGTACCTCTTTCTCTGTTTGAGATTTCTCCAAATCATCTTGGAGGATCATGACAAGGGCATCCAACTCCTGCAACCGCTTCATGTGCTTCTCCTTCTCTGCTTCTACAACACTGCCCTGTGAGGTGGCACTATTAATTTGGATGTCATAACTGGCAATTTTCTGCTGCAGTTCATTTGCATGACTTTGCAGTTGTTCATAATCTTGCTTCAGCTTAGTCAATGTCTCCTCCTGAGCCTCCTTTGCTTCAAAAAATTTTGCATTTGCTTCTTCGAGGGTATCTATACGTTCCAGCATGCGTGTCTTCTCCTCTTCGTTCATGCTTGCATGAACCCTTAGTGTCTCCAGTTCGGTTTGGAGGATTTGTGTCTGCATGGAGGTTTCTAGGGATTGAGTGATTTGTTCATCCAAATCCTTGGTTAGAGTTACCTTCTCCTTTTCAAGAAGCTCTATCAGTTTCCATGCCTCTTCCAGTTTCAACTGGGTAATACTCTTACTCTTTGTGAGTTCTGAAATTTCACCTTGCATATTTTCATTCAGGAATTGGAGTTCAGAATTTTCACTCCTCAATGTTCCCAATTCTTGTTCAATTTCCTGCAGGTGCTGGCTGATAGCATCTTTTTCCTCCTTCTGGGCCTGGAGATCTGCTTCCAGACTACTTTCAGAGAGCATGTGTCGCTGTTCTGTCACAGTGTGCACTGCTGCAGCGGATTTGAGGATTTCCAATTCTGACAGAGCTGACAGAAGGCGTTCTTGCAGGGAATTCCGCTCCTCAGATACTGCATACAAAGGAGGCATCTCTGCTGATGCAATGTCCAGCTTTGCCTTCAGAGAATCTCTTTCTTCAACCACTGCTTCCATGGAATGCTGGAGCTGCTTTCGCAGGATTTCATTCTCTTCAATGGAAATATGCAAATTTGACAACTGCATTTGGAGAGTTGCTATTGCCTGCTGAAGGACTTCTTTTTCACTGCACACAGCACTATAGCTTTCTCTGAATCCTTCAAGGTCGTTGCAGGTAACCCGTAAGGGCTCAATCTCCAAAGACAATGATTCTAGTTGTTGCTTCATATCATCCCGCTCCTTCTCTACTCTTCGAAGAGTTTCTAAAGATGATTGCTGCTTAGCTTGCAGCTGCTCAAAACTTTCCTCCATAGCAGCTTTAACATGATTCTTTTCATTTCTTTCAGAAGCAACAAGCTGCAGAGCTGTCTGAAGCTGTTCTTCAAGACCTGCTTTCTCCACATTTGCAACATTGAGTGAGTGCTGAGTCTCTTCAAGTGTGGTTTCAATCTGTGAAACAGTAGATTGAATAACCATGAGCTTCTGGTCCTTCTCCTGGATTTCACTTTGCTGTCCTTGGATCAGCTGGTGCAGCTCTTGGAGTTCTGAATTGAAAGTCTGGCGGATGAGTTGTTTCTCTTCCTCTGTGTCATGGAGTTTCTTGGTCAGTTCCTCAATATCAAGCAATTTCTTCTCCAGATCAGATCTCATCTCATCTTCAGGATGAGCATCTCCTGCAGCTGCTTTCCTTGACCGTATTTCAGTCATTGCCTCTTCAAGCTTCATTTGTAACTCCTGATTCTCTTTGTCCAGAAGCTCTAATTTCTCCTGCAGGTCCCGATTTTCAGCATCAAGATTTCTTTCTCCAGTTGAGTCCTTGGAGCTTGAAGAAGACTTCTCAGACTTCAGCTGCTTCAATCTGAGCAAAGCTTTATTGTACTTGACCTTTAGAGCTTGCATTTCATCTGACTGCCTTGCAATTTCTACTTGGAGATCTAAATTATCAGACTTCGGAGATGAAGTCATACTTTTACAATCCTGCTTTACAGGTATCTCAGACCTAAATTGATCTTCCAATTGCATAATTTTTTCTTTAGCTGAAGCAAGCTCTCCTTCAAGTGCACTGCTCTTTACCTGCAGCTCAACTTGTGTTCCCTGTTGAGTCTCCAACAGCTTCACTAATTCAGCTTTTTCCATCCTAACATTCTCTAAAGCACATTGAGCTTCATCGAATTCTGATTTCAGCTTCTGCAAAGTGGATTTAGACTGATCCAAATCAGTCTGAAGGTTCTGTAGAAACTCATCTTTCTCATCAATCTCATTTTCAACATGTTCACTGAAGATATTCCTCTCCAATGAAGAGATCTTCTCTGAGAGATGCTGATTCTCTTCCTTCTCAGTAGCAAGCTCCTCCTCAAGACTCTGGACCTGACTCTGTAACTCTTGAAGATTGAGCTGAGCATGACGAAGCTCTTCAGCTTTCTCTTCCAAGGCACTGCATACTTCTCCTAATTGATTGTCCTTTTCTGCAAGCTGTTCATCAAGAGCTGCAATCTGATCTTTCAGTCGAATGTCCCCATCTGAATCCTGGAACCATCCATCTCCCCAGTTGTCCTCTGCTTCTCGTTCTTCTAAACGTGCTTTTGTGGCATCCCGCTCCTCCTCTGATTTCTGGACCATTTCCTCCAATTCTGTGATCTTTTGTCTAGCTTCACACAGTTCATCCTGAAGTGTAAGGAGGTCAGTGTCTTTTTCAGATGTCATATGTTCCTTTTCCTCCAAAACAGAATTAAGTTCCTTCAGTGCCTTCCTTAATGTTTCAACCTCTGCTGACATCTCATTCAGCTCCACATCCTTGCTTTCAAGCTCTGTGTATCGAGCACTGAGCTCATCTTGCAAGTTCTGGCATTGGAGGGCATTCTCAGCTGACCAATCATAGCGGGTAACCTGTGCATCTTCTTCGTACTGCTTGATGATGGCATTCTTCTCCACAATATCACCTTTCATATTACGAATCTCCTTCTCCAAGGCATGTATTTGGGCCAGCAGGGTTTCTTCCCGCTCCATTGATTCATTCTTCTCTAACATAAGGCCTTGTATCGATCCTTCCTTGGCATCACACTTGTCAATCATCTCTGACATCTCATCCTTCAGCCGATATACTTCTCCTTCCAAGAAAGTAATCTTGGCCTGAGCTTCCTCTAGAGATGTCAGCTTTTCTTCCAATTCCAAAATGAAATTGTCTTTTCTCTCAATTTCACTTTGGAGTCTCTGTAACTCTTCCCTGAGCTGCTTAGCCTCACCTGAGTGTGCCTGGAGTTCAGAAATGCCATCCCTAAGAGCATCAAGGTCTTTGACCTTCTCTTCCATGATATGTAGGGTATCCTGAAGCACCTTTTCCTCTGATTCCAGAGCTGCAATTCTTTCATCTTTACACTGTGCTTCAGTCTCCTTGCAGTTCAATTCAACAAGCAGAGAGGTGCAACGCTCATCTAGCTCACCATACTCACTTCTTGTTTTCTGCTCAGTTTCCTGGAGCTCCTTTTCCATTGCATCCACTCGTATCCTGAGGTCATCCAATGTCTTGGATTTATGCTGACTTTCTTCTTGAAGCATGATGTATGCCTCTACTTTTTCTTCCAGGGCTTTTTCTGTTGCTTCAGCTTTGGCTTTGAAGGTATCACTCTCTTTCTGCCAGCTATGCACCTTTGCCTGAGTGGCTTCAAGCTGAGCTCTCAAGTCTGATTCAGTGTTATAAGCATTGGCTGCATATTCTTTCAATTTCACTTCCAGCTGGGAGATCTCTTCCTCCTTTTTAGAGAGGGAGATACTCATGGCATCCAACTCCTTCCTCTGAGATGCAATCTCTTCATCTTTCTGGGAAATTTCTTCAGACAACTTGCTGAGCTCTGCATCCCCTTCTTTCAGCTGATCACAGAGGTTCTTCAGCTTATCTTCTGAATCAAATACCTTACTTTTCTCATATTCGTTTTCAGCACTCAATTGAGACACATGAGCTCTAAGTTGCTCCAGCTCAGACAAGAGATTCTTTATAACCTGGTCTTTTTCAGTCTCAGTACCTTTCATCTGTTCGAGGAATGTTTCTTTCTCCTTCACTCTCATGTCTTTCTCTTCTAATACAATGTTTAGGGTCTCTATTTCCTCCTCAGCACATTTATACTTTCCAATCAAATTCTCCTTCTCCTGTTTAAATTCTTCTACTTCAGCCTGCAGGGACTCAATTTGAAATATCTGTTCTGAGAGTTGTGCATTAAGCTGCTTTATTTCTTCCTTGCTGACACCATGGCTTTGGGTTTCACACTCTTTCTCTGCTTGAAGACCTTCACATCTCATGATAAGACCCTTTCTTTCTTCTTCCAGGGAATTACATTTAGCTTGTAGAGCACTACTTTCCTCTTTCAATCCATTCCTGTCTTGCTGGAGTCTCTCAATTTCAGCAGATAGGAAATCCTTCTCCTGTTGCAATTCCTCAAGCTTGGAAGTCAATCTGTCCCTGTCAATCTCCAAAGCTCTTTTATCCTCCAGCAGCTCAGTCATCTTTTGCTGTTGCAGTTGTAATTCTTTGCTTAAATGCTCTAATTCACCAGACTGATTCTGAATCATTTCATCCTTCATGCTGATTGCATTTCCCAGATTCATCAAATTCACTTGGCAGGTTTCAAGTTCAGCCTGGAACTTCTTCATCTCTTGTTGAGCTATAATGCAGATGAAATTTTGGTATGAAACACTGATAAAAGATCTCTGAATAGAGAGAACAAATTATCCATACCACTCTCGGCATCTAATTGCTGCCTAGCAGCCATCATTTTTATGTGTTGGTTCAAGTTTTCCTCTGTCATTCTCAACTTCTCTTCCAACTTGAAGGTATGGGATTTTTCCACCTCTAGGGCAGAGCCTGGAAAAGTAAATGCATGGCCTCAATCCAAAATACAACAATCACTACTGATGGTCAAATAAATTCATAAAGGCCTTATATACTGCATTCACGATGCTTATCAATCATATCCTGAAGCTCCTGATGAAGTGTAGCTGTTTCTGCTGCCAATATTTTGCTGTTCTCCTCTTGGGCATGCAACCTATTCACATCCAGCTCCTCCTGTGAAAGCAATTGAAACAAAAATTTTAATCATAAACAGTTTATGGTTAAACTCGCCAACACTCGTAGAAAATGAAATACAATATTATGTATAAAATCATAATCCTGAGAGTAATTCCAACATTTCTGATAAAAATATGAAAGATATAGGAGGCTCTTTTTACTGTGCATTACTAAGAAAGTCAAAGTTGCACAATCAGAATTAGCTTAAGAGTGATCTAAGATGGGTTTAAAATAGAAGCCCATCTTGAGATGGTCCTAATCTGCTGTAGTACAAAACCACTCACATTCTTAACTTCAAGATTCCTGATCTCATCTTTGAGATCCTTGATGTAATTTTTCATATCCTCACGTTTGTCCTCAAGATCTGTAATGACTTGCTCCATATCCTCAATGTAGGCTTCACGCCTATCTATCCTTTCATAGAGTGACTCAATTTTCTGCTCTCTCTTGTCCAACATGGTATTCAGGTCCCTGTTCTCCTTTGTCACCTCCTCAAACCTCACATCGAGTTGATCAACTTCAGCTTTCAATTGTTCTAACCTATCAGTCAAGTAGATAATAAAACAAAGTCACATCACTCAAGTCAGCTATGGTCTTCAGTACTTATTGTAGGAAGATGAAAACAAAGGTGTACTTATGTTCCTTAGCAGCAAGCTGGTCTTCAAATGACTTCTTTTCTGCTTGCCAAGCCTGCTCCTGGGTGTTGAGCTTCAACTGAAGTTGACTGATCTGATCAGTGAGTTTGTGGACATCATCAGAGGAGGAATGAGACTTCTGGCTAAAATCTTTACTTAAGAATGCAATTGTATCAATCTTGGACCTGATTACCTCTTCTTTTTCAGACACCTTATCCTGAAAAAGGTATCATATGCCATTTTAGTAAATGCCTAAATGTTACCACCATGAGGAATAATAGGGATCTCTAATTCAAGAAAATTCATCTAACACATACCTGTAATTCAAGATTTTGCTTTTCAAGCACAGAAACTTTTGCAATCAAGTCCTCCACCTTTGGTGGGGGTTCTTCTTCCCTGTCCTGTTTTGAAAAATAAAAGAAAACTTCAGTAAGGTAGGCCCCACAAGAAAAAATTATCAGGATTCAAGATGAAAATGAAGGCAATAAGTTAACCCTATGTGCCATGGAATTACTCTTTGCAACTTTTTTTTTTTAGTGGCTTTAGATTTCACATGTTCTAAATGTTGCCAAGGAACACCTGAAAATTCTAGCATTCAAAACCATGTGCAAATAGCTGCTGGGCAATTGCATCCAAAACATTCTCCTTCTGCTACCACCTCTGGCACTTGATGGAGGACTTCCACACCTCATACAGTAGCTCTTTGTCATGGTCCAGAGGTAGTGGGCAAAGGAGAATGTTTTGGATGAAACTTCCTATCTCCTCTGCCTCCACACTTCATATGAGGCAGCTATTTGTGCATGGTGCTAAAGATTCAATTTTGGCACCATGGAGGGTTATCACAAAGAGACAAATCAATGATTTCATAAAACCCCATTGAATTCTCTTTCTTTTGACACAAAAACCATTCTACATCAAAATTACAATTACAAAATTACATTAAAATTTTAAAATAAGAAGTAACTTTTCATACATACTGTATATAAAGACAGATCATATTCATATACTGCCAGAAAATGTAATTTTTCAACTACAATACAATAGTTATAGACATGCATGAGCTTGAAACTGTCCTGAGAATCTTCAAGAACTGTCAACATCATTTCATAACTTCTGAACAGCCTTTGGCAGCCTTCAGTCACAGAGGTATTTTCAAACACGCCACAGAAAAGTAATCCTGTTGCCAATCAAAATGTAAGAAAAAACTTGAAAAGTTGCCGTATGTCTATAAAACAATCACAACAGCAGCACACTATTTTTTTCTTACCTTCAAGTTTGCACTTTCTGCTTCCAAAATTTTTTTTAATGTCTATTTTTGGTTTCCTTTGCTTGGGCAATACAACCTCCCTCAAAAACAGCCAAATCAACACTGAAATACAGCTTGTAGTCAGCAAGCAGCCTGGGCAGCACCAGTGATGTTGCAATGCACTGGAGGGGCAGCAGCACTGTCCATCTGATTAGCCTTTCAAATATATAGCTAAGTAGCCAATGTCTAGTCTTTTGTTCAATAAACATTTAAAAAATAGGATCAAGTATAATGCTGATAAAAAAGTATGTTAATATTTTTTAAATGAAAAACTACATAACTACCTTTTGTGGTGCTCAGCATTGTCAGCTATCATTTTGACCAACTTCACATACCTGCTGAAGCCTTGTCACAAAGACAACTATTGTTTTGCACATCCAAGCATTATAGTAAAAGCCTTCTATATATAGGTGCAATGCTACATGCACCACATTTGTGTGCATGAAATAGAATCAAATTTAAAGTGCTTATTTTTAAATGGAATTTAATGAAAACAGCATCAACTCAGTTAAATGCATTCCCATAGATATGCATTCCCTAGCATAATCATGAAGCCGAATATATTCTGTTTGATGGATTTCATGCAAACAGCTCTAAGCCACTCACCTGCCCGAGGGGCAGGCAAGCAAGTGGCTTGGTTGATCATGTTATTGCCTCCCATGGCAGGGTACCCAGGTTTGAATCCAAACAAGTCTTGTGTTTAAATCCATGTGCAAGCCTTAGCATGTTTGAGAAGGGAGACCCCAAAGCACTTGGTACCCCCATCTAAGGATGTGGGACATTAAAGATCCCCAATGGTGCAGACCAAACCTCAGGTAGTGCATTCCCAGAATAAGTGCATGGGCCAAATTGAGTCTCCCAAGGCTACTATTTGCCGATGTTACAGGGGAGAGTGTGTAGATGGGAGGATGGGTTAGCTAGTGTTCCAGAATTAGGGTGCTGTCATGGGCCTCTTGCACTCTGTACCTTATAGTATTGTAATTATCTTAATTATCTCAAAAAATTGCAAAGTGCCCAAGTTAAAATGTTTTCCAGAGGTAGCCATATGTCTTGTCTACTATTTACCCAATTCTTTTCACAAATCAAAGGGTTTTTTTGCTGATAATGTGAGATCCAAAGTCATCATGACCTCCTAACTGAATTATATCTTTTGGTATCCACCAAAATGTATCAATACCAATGGAAAGGGCTGGAAAATAACTGAAAAAAATTAGACTAAGATGAGCTCTCTAGCTTAATTAGGACACAAGTTTCAAGGAGGAGACTGAATTGGGGTACAAGAATAAGGCATTTCAGCCTCAAATTTTGCGACCTCATACCAGAGGAACCAGGGATCTAATGAACCCAATATTTGGTGTGGTTTAGTTTCTTACCATTGTCAATTGGCACCAAATTTCATCCACATCAGAAGGGGTCACCTGTAAAATGTCCTCCAAGTGTGTTGATTTGACACAGAATGACCCATAAACTTTAATTTACAAGTCTGTGATTCAATTACAATCCAAAGATCAAAGATGTTGTTGCAGCAATAGAAGCTGTTAGGTTTATTAGGATAAACCTAACAGCTTGTGAGAAAGAATATACAACATCACATACATTTGTGATCCTTGTTTAGCTCCATGAGTGGTAGCAATGCTACTGGGGATCCCTATGGTTAAATGTTTAGTAACTGATCTTTTCAAGCCCATTACTCCCAGGCATGGGATAGGAAAGTTCTTCTTAGCAAGGCAGGAAAAGGCAAATAGAAAAAGAAGCACATATGGCCCTTTTCACTCTCACTCTCCCTTCCTTCTTGTGATCCTCTTTTATCCTGCTTTTTTCTTTTGCATTTCCCATAAATAATGGAAGAATACAAACTCTGAATTCCAATCCTGAATTTTAAAAAATATTTCTCATCTGGTTCCCACTCCAACTTATTCTTCCTTCCCTTTCCCCCCCCCCCCAATTGATGTAGGAATATGCTCCTGATGAGTTTTGGTCCTACTCTCAAAAGGTTTCCACACCAGTCTCATCCTGCACTGCAGAAGGAATCAGGAGATATATGATGCACTTCCTCCTCCTTCTTTCACTCTCAAGCTGTTACATTCTTTTTCATGTAATGTCTGGTTACCTCATGCCTGCCTCTGGGTGTTATCTAGGCTCACAAGGACACACCTAAATAAGGAGATTCTACTTTTATCTTTCTGCACAAGTCACTTACAATGGGAAATAAGTGATGAGATATCAGGGTAAGAGACTTCAGTAATTTCTTCAAAAATTTATTAAAAATTCAGTAAACCATCAGGTAGCTGGATAGTTGATGTTTGTGATTTGGTTTATGAACTAGGCATAAATGGAGATCCCTGTATGCTACACATATTACACTAAATTACTGTAATATTCTGCATTTTAGTGTCTTTTGTCATAATTTTTTTTCTTCTTCAGATTTTAGTAACTTTGGACTCTCATGGAATCAGTAAAAAATATGGTCATGCAAGGAACTTTCACGTAGGTCACACACTTAGGAAAATGCAAAATGAGAGTCTAATCACCATAGACCTCATGTATCAAATGCTAGGCTGGAATGCAATGCAGCATACCAAAGAGACATCATTTGAAAAACTGGTCTCCAGTCTTGATAAGGATTGGATACGCTCTTTCATTTTCTCTGCAGTTTCTTGCTGCTGCTTGAGACGTTCTCTTCCAAGGAGCCTGGAAAAGATGTATTGAGGAATTTCTGGTTACAAGGATGACAAATAAATAAGCAAACACTGAAAGGACATGTGTCTGATTGCTTGAGTGGCAGACATAAAACTTACCATTTTTCTTCCAATTCAGGTGTCACAATTCCTGCAGCATCTCCTTCTTCCCGTGAAAATGAGGAAGCAAAGCTTGGGCCAGCCTGAGAAAGAGGGGTCCCTCTCTTGTTTGCCAGTTCTCGATATTCCTGGCATCAATTAGTTCATTTTATAGTGGCTGGTAGCTTAATGCATGTATATGTGTATTTGGAAAATTTACATGTATATATGTGGTCAAGAGATGAAGGCTTACCTAAGACAGCCATAAACCCAACATTAGCAATGTTAGACATTGGGTTTTAGTTAAAAAGCTTTAGACTGCGTAACTACTGGCATTTAAAATTTCAGTTGTTTATTCAATTGATTTGCCAAGCTGGCTAGGCTCTAACTTAACAGATGAGCTGGAAGTTGCCTGACTCAAAATGTCTCCTCAGTTGATGACACCTACATTCAAAAGAAGGGAGCTCCTTGGCCTCTTGAGTTGTGGTCAAGCTGCCTTTCTGAAGAATGATGTCTAAGGTCAGGCCTAAAGGTCATTAAGGCTGTTGCATATTCCAGAGTGATAGTTTTCCTCATCTCATAAGTGCCATGTAAATTTTTTGCAGCAATTTTCACCTGAGAACATTTATTAAGATGCAGGATTTCACAAAAGTCATATAGTCAGGGCAGAGAGGGCTCAATCAAAGCCTAAGCAATAAGCATGAAATAGAGTTCTCAATGGGTGACAAGTACTTGTATGGCTATTTGGGGCTTGGATTTTACTGGCTTCTTAGTAGATCATTTAATAGTTGATGTGCACCAGCTCTATTCATTAACTAAGTTGGATTTCAAACCAGGAGTCCCTATGGCAAGAAAGAATTTCCCCACTTCCCAATATTAAACGTCTTAAATTAAAGTGGAAGTCATCTTTTATCTACTATGACATAATGTAAGAAGCTTTTAAATGACATTATCCTTCAATAATGTAGAGTTATATAGTTCCATGCTGATAGGCTGAAAAAGATGGCTCAGAATCTTCCCAAAAGGCGAAATAAGCACTTTCCTTTGTCTTGAAAGATATGCTGATGTTCAGTAAGCTGAGTGACATTGAAGGTCACAATTCCCAGCTCGGCCAATAGACATTGCTTTAAAATATTTTAAGCAATTAATATAAAAACAAATAGTTTCATAAAGGCATTCAACTCATGTGAAAAACTGTAACTGCAAGCTAGGCACATGCCTAATGTAGCTCAAGGGCTAGGTCGATGATGCTGGTTATGGTTAAGCATGTACCCCTAACGTTAGGGATATTGCGTTGTCCCTAGAGTTAGGCCAGGTTAGGTCGGAGTTTATTTTAAATAAAAAGGAATCCCAATTGATGCACAATTTTTCAGTTTAATTTATCTGGAAACATTGGAGACTGGGGAGTGAAATTTTTCTTGGGGTACGCGCATAACCGTTACCGATGACTCTTACCTCCAATTTCTTCTTCCATTGCTGAGTTTCCTCTTCAAACTGCAACCGTTTCTTGCGCAAGTGGAGAAGCCCATCTGAGAAAACTCCGTGGTCTTCATTTTGCGAAAGTGACCTGGGAAGAGTATCCGGTGTGTTCAGTCTTTCAACTCCTGTTTCAACAACACTAATAGATGCCGGGGTTTCTTCATCTTGCTCTTCCGTCCCATTCTCATGTGCCTCTTCACCAGCTTCACTCCCATTCCGACTGTTCGGTTCTTCCATGTGCCTTCGCTGGCGCGAAGGCTTGCAAAATCACGAGTATGTATAAGTACCACAATATGCAACGAATGGTTTATTGCAAACGTTGATCGGACAAGCAACTGAATGATATTCAAATCCAGAGTTTACGTGGACATGCAGTACAGGGAGTCGCCATGATAAGGATGACCTCCTTCATGGCCACTCCCTTTACTCTCAGCTGCTCGCATGACTAGGTTGAATTTCTCGGTCAAGCTTACCCTGTGCTCGCTTCTTAAATTAATAACTCACTTCTCCTTAAGGGCCATTGCTATTCTTTCACAACTAGGAGGTAGTACTACATATATGTTCTTTATAAAAAAATAATGCATATGTGGGGTGAGGGAATATTTTGGAAACATGCCGTTGGACGCCAAATACGTCTCAGAAGGTTTGGCCCTTGGAAGGTTTAAGGTTCGAGTTGGGACGTCGAGAGGCATTTTCGGCTATTATGACGTCCTGTCTCGAGATTGAATATTCATGAGGAATAAGTTAGGCTTACCCCTCTTATAGAAATTTTTTTTTTTTTAACTGAACCTCAGTCATGCCTAGTTACTCATGGCTATGACTACTGGCTGTGTGGCTCCCTTTACTTTTTTTTTATTTCAATGAAGCCATCAAGCTGCTTCTTGAAGGTAGTCATGGAAGAGGCAGCAAATACATCCCTAATGTAGCCCAGCACTTTCCATGCATTTAATACTAAAGAAGCAAAGAATGCATACTGCAACTTGAGTGACACTAAGAGTTCATGCAACTTGAACTGGTTTTCTCTCATTTTTCTGCAATTTTCGAGTGGTAAATATCTACCACACTCATGTTATAAGCTTCCTTTGATGATCTTCAATGTCTAAAGGTCCCCACTCATTATTATTCACTTGAATGGGAAAATCCATTACTATGCACTTCATTTTAAAGTCCTTATGTCTCTCTTTTAATTTATTTTCCCTTCTCCAAGCCCTCTCAAGCGATTTTAAATATTTTTTACTTGTAGACCTTCAAAATTTAATATAATACTGTGAATGGGGTTTTACAAGTGCTGCATTAAAAAAAACTCTTGTTTATATTGCCAGATATAGCCTAAAATCCTGTGACAAATGGTTTAAGAGAAGAAGGGGAAAAATATGTTAATATACCTCAAGTAAATTGATCAGTGTCATCTGGGGAAGGAAAACCAAAAATATTATTTTAGTAGTGGTATGACTTTCCTCAACAACAGTCTGTCTGAGGATAAATTTATATTTTGTAGTGTGTTCGTGTATGGTCACTGGCTATTTTCTGAGTTCTTCATTCCCCAGTCATTTTTTATTGTAGGGCTAGGCTAGACCTTCTAGACTGGAAGCCATAAGAAATTGGTAATAGGATCTTGGAAACGTTCTTCATACTTTTGTTGGCAAAAGAATGTAGTTGTGCATTGATGAGGAAACAGTGGTCAACACCTTTGAAATTCCCTTGTGTTACTCTATGAATATTTTGTGCATGAACCAGATTAGACCTACAAATTTTGCCCAAGTCAGAAATAAGGATTCCTTTCATCTTCCACCAATAGTACAGATGTTTCTTGAAAATATGAACAGCAAAGTTGAACCAATGGTAGGGGTCTGACTCAACTATAGCATAGCCATTTTGTGGGTAGAGCCATGCTTATTTATGAGTGTTTTATATGAAAAAAGCACTCAAGTGGAGTTTCTGAAATGAAAAGATTCTTATACTCTTGAATTTTCCTATTGTCTTTGTATGTAACTAGCATATGCACTATGCCACTGGAGACAAGCTTTCCACTGTTGGTCGGAATCACAGTACAAAGGATGGGATTTGTATGACCATTGATACTTTCCTTGGCCATAACTTGGAGAAGCAAAAAGATCCAACAGTGCTTGGAAACTCATTCAATAGTGAAAGCATTGGGCTATCAGGAAATGTAAGCACTGTGGCATGATCATTATGTTGCAAGAAGTTATGAAGCATTGAATGTTGATATTGTCAAAGATTTGTCAGCCTGATGGTCAATGCTGAATTAAGCAACATGAAGGTCCATGAGACAAAAATGCCTCAGATGATATGATGAAACTTATTGAACTTTTTTTATGGAAGGCACAGAAAGGATCAGTGAAACTAACGTGTTTATATATATCTGATTGAAAAGAAAGTTCTCGGAATTTCATGAACAATTATTACAACCCAGTTTATTTAAAAGCAAAATCACCTCAATCATGAATGTAATCACCATTGGCCTCTATCACTTCATGCCAACGTTTATGCAAACTATGGATGCCATTCAAATAGAACTCTGGCGGCTGCGCTACGAAAAAGTTGGCCAAATCGGTTTTCAGGTCGTCTTGGTTGGCGTACTGCTTTCCACCCATGTGACGGTCCAGGGCAACGAAAAGGTGATAATCGGACGGGGCAAGGTCGGGGCTGTAGGGCGGATGCGGCAGCACCTCCCAGCACAGGTCCAGTAACTTTAGATGAGTCTGTCTAGCGGTGTGCGGCCGGGCATCGTCGTGGAGGAGGATGGTTCTCTGTCTTTCTGGGCGTGTTTCAGCCAGTTTCTGCTGCAGCCGATCGAGTTGCTGGCAGTAGTAGGCAGCAGTGATGGTGGTGTTTTGCGGCAACAGCTCAAACATGATGATGCCTTTCGAATCCCAGAAGACCGAGAGCATGATCTTTTTGGGGTGCAACTCCTGACGGGGTTCTCTTTCGGCCGATGCTCCGGCGTCCACCCACTGACGTTTTCGTCGAATGTTGGCATAGAAGGTCCACTTTTCGTCGCCTGTCACCACTGAGTCTAGCCAATCCGTTCGGCGCGAACGTGACAGAAGGGAGATGGCCATGTCTACTCGTCGCTGGCGGTCCCGATCATCCAGCTTGTGGGGTACCCAGCACCCCAACTTTGCCTTCTTGCCAAGCTCAGCCAGATGATGAAGGATAGTTGTATGGGAGACACCCAGCAAGTCCGCAAGCTCTCGCGATGTTTGCCGGTTGTTGGCCTCCAGTGCCTCCTGCAAGGCAGAGTTATCAAACTCCGAAGGACGACCGGTGCGTGGCTGGTCTTCCAGGCTTTCATTTCCTTTCTGGAAGCGACTGTACCAATCATAGGCAGTGCTCTTGGACACAGTGTCCGGGCCAAACGCGGTATTGATGTCAGCGATGGAATTGGCTGCCTTCTTCTCGATTCGGAAGTCATAAAGAAGAAGCAGGCGAACTTGCTCCTTAGTAAGAGGGTAGGGCTGGTTCATGGCTGGAGAGCACCAGGGCTGTAATAATATACGGTTGTATGCCGAAGGACACGACCTACTTATAAACACACGCAGAACATTCTAGCATGCTCTGGAAAAAAAATTGTACTGGATATTCAAGAAATTCCGAGAACTTTCTTTCCAATCAGATACCTATCCCTCCATACCCATACATTTGGTGAGATTGTCTATGAGATGGCAGTGCAGTTGTAGTTCGTGTAGACAGATGAGAAAGTTAGTACCAAGATTACTGTGACACAGGGCATGAAGATTGAACAGAAGGGAGAAAAATGTTTTCAGTGTGGAAAACAGAGGACATGGTGAGATTTACAAATGTGTATTCTGTACAGAAGTGTCCAATGTAGAGTAAGATTTTCAAATAGATTAAGTGTTACTGGCAAGGATGCATAATTGTCTAACCTGAGACCTGGCCAACCCAGGTGTGTGATCTTGGGTCATACCAGACTCACACCCCCATATACAAGCTATTTCACAATGGTGGGCCCTCCCTCTGTTTAGAACAGCTTGGAAAATGACTGGGGATGTAATTTTGCAGTATGAAACAGACCTATTTACAGCTTTTCTCTGTTTTAGAAAGATTGAATTCAAATGGCAAAACCTGTTTCAATGGGTTGGCAGGATTTACAGAGTGTTTTACAATGATGCCCACCTGTGCATCATTGTGAAACACCCTGTAAAGCTTTTTGCCAGTCGAATTCACTCCCTATTTGGCTATCTGTGTCTGAAAATCATATACTTCCTCCTTTTTCACCTTACTAAACTAACTCTATATCTGTGAAAGACCTATTTAATGGTATTCTATGGCCCCACAAGCTAAATCTGAAGATGCCCATGTCATGATAAATGAAGAACCTTTGGCAGATGTGGCATCAGTTGAGTATTCATGTGTACAAGTGGAAAGTTGGAAAGCTAAAATTTTCAAAGAGGTGGGAAAACCCTTGGCAAGGAGATTCTAAATTTTCTATTTGGAATTAGACATTTCATTCCTAAAGATTAATAAGTGGCTTTACCATACAATTATGCAATCTCTTCAGTTATTGTGCTATAGCTACCAAAACTTAAAGTTGGAAATTACAAGTGCTGCTGAACAATACCATCTGAATTCTAAATGACTTGCCTACCCTCCTCAACAAATTCAGGTGAGAATTCTCAGCTCAGAAAATCTGATTGCATGAAATGTTAACTTTTTTCTTATTGTCTACATGCATATCAGGGAATCAGGGTGTTTCAGCTGGTGATTGGCATGAATTAAAAGACAGGGATCCAGATTTGAAACTAGCTGAGCCCATAGTGTGGTGCCATCTGGTGGTGTTTGGGATGGAGACCCTCATGATAATGCTACATCCCATGCCCAGATATGCCAAGCCAAATTTCTCAACTACATCAGTCCCCTTTTCCTTTTAATTCCCCTGCACAAGTTTGAATCTGTATAAATATACCTGATACCTGTTCTTCATTAAGCCTGTAACTATCAGAACCCAGATGTTCATTATGCTTAACTCTTTGTCTTTATCTCCATTCCTCATTCCCAAAGAATCTCTTCAAAATATTTTTCTTAATTACTATCACATATCTTCATGAAAATACACATAGTATCAGACATTAAAAGTTTACTGCACAGACTGCACAAATGAGTAAATTTTTAAATCTGAGTCCATTGGACCTGGAACAGTAGTTACAGGGTTAAAATAATGAATATTTGTTTTGTCCTAGATATCAGCTATTGATGAATTAAAAATTTCCTACCCCTCTTGAATAACATTTCTCCCAATATATGTGTTTGATAACTTTTTGTGAGGTTTAAAGTTTAGCTCAGTAAACTGTTCCAGGGTTCAAATTCCACTTTGCCAATTACTGTGATATTCTGTCTTTAGTTATCTATGGGCAAGTAAACTCATTTGATGCTAAAAAAATGTTTTATTGAGGCAGTAATATGCCTTGACTGGTGACTTTCTCTGGGCCCACTTAGTGCCTGATTCCAATACAATGCTTTTGAAAACTTTTACATTCTCCAAGATACTCCCAGAAACGGTCATTGAACTTCTTGGGATTACTTGCATATCCTTTTTCATCCACTCAGAATCTGATTGGTGAAATCTTGGTGGCAAAGCATTTCACTTTAATGAATGTGATGTTTTCTTTTGTGTGATCTTCTGTGCAATTCATGAAGAAGCATCTTAACTCCATCCAACATAACAAGCATGGCAGAGAGAGATTGCCAGGGACTACGGCCAAACATGAATTCTGATTGCATGATACAGCCATCTGCATTTGTATCTGAATGGATGACAAAGTGGAAGAATAATGCATTGTCTGGTATGACCCTCCGAGATGCTTGGCGCCTTTGGGTTCCCAAGCTGTACTCACCTGAACCCAACTGCAATTGTTTGAATATCTCTCGTGATGATGGAGAAATCAACTTCCGTCTTCTGAAACCTCTGGAGATCTTCATATGTGATGGTCCTCCTGAAGATAAATTTCAGGTGAGAAATTTTCATCCTCATGATTCATATTTGTACCTCTCACCAAAGGATTTCGAGGTTGCCATATTATGGGTATTTCTGAATAAACCATATTTATGAATTATTATAATTGATTCATTCTTGTAGGCTATCAGTTTGGTTCATTGCATTTGTGTAGTGCTCAACAGTTTTTAGAAGCTGTGTCCTCCTGTGTTCACATGAATCTGTAGCCTTTTTATTCAATTTCAGAGGTTGTTGCAGTTGGATACTCCTCCGACGTTATGTGGAAAGGTATTCAAGAATGGAGAACCTACATACAGCTGCCGAGACTGTGGTATGGATCCTACTTGTGTGCTTTGTGTTGAGTGCTTCAAGGAATCTGCTCACAAGAATCACCGGTATGATTCTTGTTCCTGATATATTAAAAACACCTGGATTTTGATTATAAACAGATCTGGACAGCTGCTAAATGGGATTACTGTACAATTAAGCCTCTGCATAATTCAAACCCAATGCTACATTTTTTTATGGATGATTGATTGGGATTGATTGGGTGATTGCATGGAATTTATTTTTTGTAGATACAAAATCAGCTCGTCAGGTGGAGGAGGTTACTGTGACTGTGGTGATGTAGAAGCTTGGAAGAAGGATGCTTATTGTAATATTCATCTAGTTGGCATGCAGAGTGAAAGTCCTGCCCAAAAGGCACTGCACCGTATGCCTCCTGATCTTGTAGAACGTGCTCGAATTGTGTTTTCCACTGTGCTGCGTTATGCATATGAAATGCTTACAACAGACCTTGCCTTGAATCTTCCATCTGATCTTCAGTTGAAGGAAGAAGAGAGGGATCCCATTCATCTGATGGGATTGTTTGAATCCTCTGACACTTATGCAGCTGTCATGTTTAATGATGAAACACATACCTATGACCAGGTGATTCACACACTCATGCGAGCAATTGAGTGTAGTCATAAAGATGCAACTGATTATGCTACCATGATCGACCGTGAAGGCAGGAGCATCGTGAAGTGTTCCACTTTCATGGTAAGTGAATATATTTGTTGAAAGTTGCTAAGGTTGATAACACCTATCCAGTGTTTGGTTTTCTTGCTCATTTTCCCAGACCTGCAGTCAAGTTGGCCAAACCATAGAAAGGATCACATCTAGGCATGGAGGAAAACCTCTCAAAGTGACAATAATGCATATCCATCTTGTAGCTCATCAAATGTTTGCCATGAAACTACTCTCTTGGCTTCAAGGGATTTTGAAGGTCTGTGAGGGATTCAGACAGTTGTTCAGCAACGTCATGACTGAGGTCAGCACAGGGAGTAAAGTTTTTCCAAGATTCTAGTAAGAGAATATTGAAGTGATTCAATTTCTTGAGCCCCAATTGTTATTTTTAAAAATTAATATTTCTCCAGGAGTATGTCCTGGATTCCATGCTCTTGGAGGCTATTTTACTGAGTGATGCTCAACTTTGGAAAGCTGCTAGAAATCAATGGCACCATCTTTTCATCACTGGAATGCTGATGGACAATGAAAGCAAGAAAACATTTGCAAAGGTCTTGTAGTTCCCCTTATTAGTGATTCCTTCCAAACAAGAGACATCAAAGTGGACATGGTGATTTCTCATTTGCTTTTCATGCAGATTTTCACAAAGAACTACTCCAGATTGATGAGAGATTTCATAGAAGATGATCATGAGCATTCAGCATCTGTGACCTCACTCTCTGTTCAGTTATTTACTGTGCCAACCCTTGCGCACTACCTGATTGCAGAAGAGAATGTTCTGGATATCTTGCTTAGGACTTTTCAGGCTGAGTGTGCAAGAAGAAGAAATACAGGTAAGCTTTATTCTGTCCCAAATGATTCCCCATCTCCTGCCTCTTCAGGATGGTATGAAATGATTGAATGTGCATTTCAAAGCTGGCCGGCTGGTGTTTGAAAGGACCAGCCAGGGAAGCCAAGCAGGACATATCCGGAGACCTCAGTACATCCTGATTGATGTGAAGTACCTCCTCACTACCAAGCCCACCATTTGGACTGATGAGTTGAAGAAAGGCTATCTCCAGGGCCTGTTCTTGTTACTGGAGCTTCTGTCGTGGATGGAGGCAAGCCCTCAGCTGGTTATTCTGCAATTCCAAAATGCCTGTGATGTTAACCACTGAAATATATTTTATGTACAGGGAATGGATGCAGTGGTGAGACAAGTTGGGCAGCATATGGAATATGAACCAGAGTGGGAGACTGCTTTCAATCTCCAGATCAGGGTACTTGGTCCTGTCATCTCCCTTATGCTTGACTGGTGCACATCAGACCGTGTGATCTTCATCAAAGCTGTCAGGCAAGGAATAATTACAAGTACTGATTGGGAGATATTTTCCATCCTGCAGGATGCCCTATTAAAAACTTCCTTGGATCTTGTTATAGAATTACTCTCAGAATGTTGGGAACTACTTATGAGGGCCAAAACAAGTCACTTGTTACTCAGAGAGTGGGGGATCATGAAGCCAAATGCATTTGGTATAGTGTCGCCTCTCAGAGTGTTTCTGTCCACCTTCCTCTCTCTCGCATCTTTGCTGGAATGGTGCTGGAAATGCCCAACTTTGACCTCTCCTTTAACTCTCAGGAGTTTGAAATCAAGAACAAACCCTCTCTTGTGGCACTGATGGAACCTTGTCTCAGAACTGAAGTTCTGATTGCTCAGGTGAGGATTCTAAAATATGAATTTCCTTTCTACATCAGTCTTCTGCATAGTTGATGACATGTTCCTTTGTCCCAGGTTCATGCTGGAATGTGGAGGCGAAACGGCTTCTCTCTGATGAACCAAGTGTATTTCTATCAAAATGTTCGTTGTCGCAGAGAAATGCTTGATAGGGACATCTTTCTCCTCCAGTGGGCCTCTACTTTGATGGACAAGAATGAATTCCTTATTCACATTTTGAACAAGTTTGACTTGGTGATGTGGACTAAACCTGATTTTGAGAGCCCTGACAAACTTTGGGTGAGTTGCAGGTTTGGTGATTAACTTCACTGTGATTTAGATGTCCTCATTGACTTTTCAGTGAGTTGTTCCTAGGTGAATCCAAGTTCATATAGATTTATTGTCCACCTCTCATAAAGGCAATGGAAGATGATCGTGTGAAACAGTGTGTCACTATGGTGGAGGAATTCCTTGCACTCATCATTACCCTTGTGTCTGAAAGATATACACCAGGAGTTGGAAAGGTAAGACCTCATGCTATAGGCCAGATTTGTTATTCATGGGTTGGTCAATGAGTGAAGGGCTAACTCTGGGTCAAATTAGCATGGGATTAAGCTTTGGGCTGAATGATCCTTTTGTTTGGTTAATTACAGGCTTAGGAGGGCTGGGCAAAATCAAGGGGCAAATTGGAAACATACATGAACCCCGGTCATTGGGTTATAACTAAATTGATACATCCCAGATTAGAAGCCTCTTATGCGAAAAAGACATTCATTCTAAGAATGCCTCATGGTTTGAGACAGTGACATTGAACAACAATGGAAAAAGAACCACACCTCTTTGGACATAACTATGCAAGAAGCATAGCTGAGATGGCACAGATGCCCAAATACAGATCTTCATTTACCAGACATTATATCATGTCCATGATAGTCTTGGCTGTAGCCATGCCTAGAGGAACCTCCATATTGTCACAAACCATGCACCTTTCAAATTCTGTGGTGGTATGACAGAAGATGATATGTCCATTTTCACAACTTCTCAGGAGGAAGATTTTAAAATTCCTATTCCTACAGTGCATGCTACATATCCCCTTTTTCCAAATGTAGTTTTCTCCTGAAGGAACAGGAGTTGGACTCTTATACATTTTGAGATCACAAAAGATGGATCACAACACACTCTCTATGGTGATGATGTCAGCTCAATTTTGCCAAAGTGGACTGATCTCCTTCTGTCATACCACCACAGAGTTAGCATTCACCTTTCCTGTATATTGAATGTAGCCTTCAGCCCATTTTCTACAGGATCAAAGTGATTTGCTTGCAATGCACAAATGACCTATGAAATGTCACTCAGATTTTTCATTGGAAGAACCTCTGGCTTGCACCTTTCATACTTACATTGAATGCTGAGCTTTCTTTTCCTTGTATCCTTTTTCATTTGCTTCCAGAGGTATTGTATGTTGCTTGTTTCTTGACTTCTCAAGGTCAATGTGTTGATAAGGCTACTCCAAGTGCTCCAAGTCTTTAATTCCATTGTCTTAGTGTTAATGACTCTATTTAATTCAACTTTTGAATGCATCTGTCTAGGTGCTGTCTAGGTGTCTAGGTGCAGCTGCTTGTCCTGCCATGTGAATTATTTCATGATGGTTAGGTTGAATCACAATACTGGAGGGTCCAGTAGTTTATGCCTCAAAAGTCCATTTTTTTAATTTGTTACCAATATTAAATAACACTAGGACAGACCTTTCATGCAAACCTCCACCCTGTTCTACACCTAATGTGTAGAACAGGGTAGTGCGTGATCATGGTGAGTGGTATGTGAGGGTCACTAAATGGCAGATTTATGAGATTGCTGGTGGGGAGGGTGAAGGTGGGGTTTGCTAGCTCCAATATAGTCTTTGATTCATCAACTGAAACTATAGGATTAGTTTAGCCCAAGGCTACAAAACCCTGCAAAGAAGTCAACCCAAAGCTAATCCTGTTCTCCAATCATCAACTGAATCTAAAAGTACATGTATCTTTCTATTATGTGAACAATAAACATGGCTGATTTCTTACCACTAGGTCACACCTGAAGACCAGCTGAAGAAAGAAATCATACAGCAGCTTTGCATTGAGCCTATGCCTCATTCATCCTTGAGCAAGGTCCTTCCTGAAGATGAGAATCATGAGACAGGAATTGAGAAAGTTATCCATGATGTAGCAGAGTTCAAAAAGCCAACTCAAGGAGTGGCAAAGGGAGTCTATGAGCTCAAACCTAGTATGTGTATCATTGCTAGTTATTACCCAAGTCTGTCATTTCTTGGCTTGTCAATAAGTCTGTTTAAAATGTCTTGAATTTCATCAGAACACTATGCAGATTATAATCTGTTCTTCTATCACTACACCCGAGAGGAACAGTCTCGCTCTGAGGAAAGCCAGAGAAAGAGAAAGAAGGCAGCTGGGGAATTGGAGTGTTGCCTTCCGCCAAAGCTTCCCCAGTTGACTCCAGGTGAGTTACTCGATTTAATAACTTGGCAAGAGTACTTACAGACTCAAACCAAAATTTATTGACCTTATCATCTCATTAACCTCATTGTACACTACAATCATTTTTTTGCAAAGCTTCCCCTTCAATATAAATGCACTATGTAACAAATTATAAAGAGAGGCATTTCAAATTGAAAATTGTGCTTTGGTAATAGCAGTTGTTGACAATAAGAAAGCTGAACTATGATGCTTAAAAACCCAGAAGCATGCTTGCTTCCATTAAAATCTCTTGAATTTGGAGGATTTGACATTGAATCTTGCACCTAGGCAGCATCGCTGTCAATAATACTCATACCAGCAAGAGTTTCACTTGGAAATTATGTTTGACTGTCAAGAACAGGCATGTCCACTTGAGATGAGTGTCCAGGACTTACTTTTGAACAAACGAAGATTATCAGCTCTGATTTTTGTGAATTGTTATTTTTCATTATTTGTGAGTTTAAAATTCTTCCTCCTGATTCTTGGACTCCAAGGACTGTGCTAATGTTCATAGCTGTAGCTTTCCCTGCCACAATTGATCACACGATCACAATTGAAATTGGGGTAGCAGCTTTGAAATTGATCATTTTAATGTCTTGGTTTTGCAGCATATGTTAATATGGCCGACCTACTGCAGTGTGATGTGATGTTACTGGTCATGAAAACTGTCCTTGAAAGGTCAGCCAATCTGCGGGCCAGGACTTTCTCTGAAAATCAATTTCAAAAGGTAGGTCCAACATATCTCTCATCTGTCTTGATGCTTGGAAGTGATAGGTTGATTTCCATCCTGGTTATAGCTTCTGTTCCTGATGGGATTTGCTCTGCATGAAGAGGAATGGTTTATCCAGGAGGGGATTAAAGACAAATTCACTTTCACAGAAAAGGCATCCTCTCTCAGGATCCCTGAGATCATGGAAGATCTTCTGCTTAATGCACGAGTAGATATGCACAAAGGACTCCTCAAATGGACAACTACAAGGTTCAGAGAGGTTGGTAACTACATATGATGAATTTTGCTGTTGTCAGAGAAGACAATTTTGTGTTTTTAATAAAAGGAGAATTTAATTGGTAACTTCCAGGTGCAAACTCTCAGCTCACAAGGACTACAGGCTCTGAGTTCCATGACAGAAATTGCTACTGTGTCATCTCATGAGAAAATCATGGTGAGCTCTATCTTGCATGGTCTTCATCAGTGTTTCAAGACAGATTGTTTTTCTGGATTGCAATGCTTTCCAGATAGTGTAATCATGTCTTCTTTTTTTTAGGCTGAAAAGAAAAGGGCTGAAATTGCTGCAGCTAGGCGTGCCCGAATCATGACTCAGATGCGAACCATGCAAAAGAATTTCATTAAGCAAAATGCAGAACTCTTTGATAGTACTAGTAAGTTATATGTATTCACATCAAATATTAGTGTCCTGTGACATCCCTTATATGGGAATCCATGACAAGTACATTGTCACTTTTCTAGGCAGTGGAATGGATGGAGAAGGTGTCTCTACCTCCTCAGAAGTGGAAATCCATGGGCCCGATTGTATTGCTGTGGGTCCTAACCAAACCTTCAAAAATGCTGCTGACCGAGCGTTAGTTGGATCACTTCTGTCATTGTGAAAACTTAATACCTAACTTATAATAAAGTACCAGGTGTAAAAAAAAAAAACATCCTGTTAGAGTCTATATAAAACCTACTGCAGAAATGCTAGATTTGGTGAATTTTTGTATCACACAGAAAATGCTCTAAAATTTATTTCTTGAAAGTTTTGAAGCATCCAGATAAAGAGCAACAGTCATTGAAACTTTAATAAGAAAATTCAGTTTTTCCATGCTTTTGGAGGCAGCAGTTGTATCAGTGCTACAGATGTATCCCATTCACCACCAAAAAGCTTGCTTCTTATGCCTCATTCTTATTGCAATGTTCTTGACTGTGAAGTCTCATCATATACTTTCTTTCAAAGGAAAAGTCATTGCATTAAAAGTGCATTTTTAATAGACAGGCTGGAGAGGGTAGAAACAGAACAAAGTCCATGATTTGATAGAAACCCCTAAATATTCTCTTTCCTCTCCAGTCCTTATACTCCAAGTACACCATTAAATTCAAACCTTATCTTCTCACCTGATGCCTAAAAATACTACACGAACTAGAATATCATGAGGACACACTAAAAAATAGTCTTTATGGCATCAAAGGAGAGACATCTGAGCACTGCTGAGACTGCACCCACTTCATGTGTAAAAAATATATATTTTATGACTACTCTTTGAATAACTGTCACTTTTTATTTGGATAACCTAGACACTTGAAACTTTCAAAGGATAACAATTTTTGAACTGTTTCTAATTTAGCATAAAATGAATTACAAACCTAGAATTTCCAGAGTTAGTTTCATACAGGATGAATTTTTTTTTGTGCCACCAATGGAGATGTGAGAACTAGAACACAAAATTTATTCTGCTGCCCTGAGATCCAAAATTCAAATCCAATTTATCTGAAATCCTTTATTTATTTTTTACCTTTCAGCCCTGTTGATTTCAATGCCCTATCTGATTAGTCCATAATATGATGTAAAAGTGCTAACCCATGAAAATCATGTGTACATTATCTGTATCAGTATGATTTGTGTAAAGGTCTTATATTTTGGGATTTCACTTCATATGCTTCCAAAGATTAACCCTTTCGCTGTTAGCCTGAGTACAAACTCGGGCTGCGCACAACTCTTTCATGGTGGTAGCCCGAGTATGTACTCAGGCTCTGAAACCCAGTCCTTTTAGGTTGTTTCTCTTCTATTTATGGATGTAACTGACAGACATTTGGTATTTGAAAAAAAAATCATTTTCTATATAACAGGGCTTCTTTTTGTCGACATATATGACTTTCAGAAGCATTGCATTACAAAGAAATTAAGTGTGTATCTTTATCGACCCATTCTGTAAAAAAAATTGCTTCCTATGCACTTAGTTTTGCATTAGATGATGATGAAACAAATATAATTTTAAATGCTAATTGTGACATTTACTATGTTAGTAGTGAAAATGAAGGTGATGTAGAAATGGAAGTTGAAGCTGAAACTTGAGAAGATGAAAATTACGATGATGGGAGTAGAGATGCAAGCAGGAATAGAGGCAGGCCAAGCAGGCGAAAAACTGTTAATGTACCTGAGTTTAGCAACAATCCCCATGCAACTCATTTCTTGACTTTTACAGGAAATCCCGGGTTTAAATTGAATATTCCAATCTCCCTGTGATAGACGATTCTGAACGAATTTTCACAGATGACCTGGGTCAATTTATATGTTCCTCGCAATATATGCTCACCGAAACCTCCTTGAACATGAAATAACAGAAACATACAAGTATACATTTGCATCAGACCTTATTTTTTAACACAACACTAAATGAATATTCAAGGATAAAACAAAGGAGAAACCTATCTGTATAGGAATTTCATACATTTATTTTGCCACTGATTTTAATGGGCATTACAATATGGCCTTCTATTCAATCTCTCTGGAAACTGATAAACTTTTTATTATCCCTGCTTTTGGTAAAATCAAGTCTGTCAATGGATTTATACGCATCTCCAAATTCGTGCACCTTTCTGATAACACTCTGGCTGTTCCTGGAAATAAATTTTTTAACACCTTTTGGTCTATCATCAATAGTTTTCAAGATGGGACAATTTGAACTTAAACCATTGTTTCGCAGAGGCACAGTGCAATTCTTAGAACACAGTGGAGGTCATGAGGGCTTTTTTTTTTAAACAGTGAAAGGGTTAATAATTATGATTGAAAGCCATTGAAACTATAGGGTCAGTCATTCCAGCTAAGAGTGACATGATTGTGAAATGCATTTTCTGTTAGATTTTGACAACTTACTCTTATTGAGAGGCTGAAGTTAGAAGGTGAACTCAGGCCTGGGGCAGGCAATTTTTATGTGGATAGATAGATGCATTTATTTTCAAAGAAAGAATGAAAACTTTCCCTGGCCAGAAAAATGTATTCATAGCCAGTTATGTGGAAGGATGACTCCATGGCCCAAAAATAACTAAATGCAGATGCCTCTTATGACCTAAATTATGTGAAACATACAGCAATATAATATAAGAATCTTTTACTTATGGGCTGATGGCAGATCATGATCTCACATGCATCGCCTGGTGCTGGTGCCAATGCTGATTGACCCAATTCTAGGGGAAGGGGAGGGGGATCCAAAAAATTGTTCTATGCTTTCTTAGCTTTTTGCTCACTGGTTTATCTACTGGGTTTCTTGCAAGTCTAGAAACAGATGAAAATATATGCATAAATCACACAATTATGCTTGTGCTCCAGTTCAACTTCTGCAACTTTTTGTTAGCTTTGATGCTTATCTGTTCCTGTCTTCTTGGCAACTTTTGGGATTCTGCTGCAATGTCCTCTTTCAAGGTGATTTTTAAAAAATTGTGCAAATTTTTTCCCATATACATGTATTTCCAGACTTGCAGGACACCCTGTAAAGTATGAATAAAACATCATTTGTGATCATTGGCTATAAGGTAGATGCATGTCATACAGTTTGCAGTTGTTCCCCAAGGCTGACATTGACTGACCAAGGTTGCATTTGGGATGTGCCCCAAGATCTGAAACCCCATCCTACTCATGTTTGTGTTAACTTCCAGATATGTGTGTATCCTGTGTCAGGAGGAGCAAATAGTGAGCTTGGAAAATGGTTGTCTGGTGTTTGCGGCATTTGTGCAGTGCTCCACTGTCCACTCTGTTTGGAGAGAGGAAGGATCAACCTGTTGCATGGATGAAGGAGATCCTCTTTTCCTATCATCTTCCCTTCACTGTGCTCCTCACACCTCAACATGTGGTCATGTCATGCATGTTGAATGCTGGCAGAATTATTACGATAGGATCATACAGAAAGAACGCAGCCGTCCGGCCCGGTTAGTTCTTTCTTTCATGAGTGTCATGATCCTGAAAGGATAGGGTAGTTAAACCTACCCAGAACTTTACCTCTTGACTTGGATCTCAATATGGGCAGGATTGACCTTATCTGCACAGTATCATTTGCATACTGGAAATGAATAAAAAAAAATTTGCATGGCTTGTAGTTTCAGGCAGCCACTGAGCTTTGACATCGAGAAGAATGAATTCATGTGTCCACTTTGTGGTCGACTCAGCAATGGTGTCCTCCCTATCCTTCCTCATTTGGGCAAAGTTGATGATACTGTTTGTCTTTCACTGGAATTCCAGGATTGGGTATATCTCCTTGATACCATCTGTCAAAAGAAGGTGAATATACTGGTTTATGAATTGGAGGATTTTGTATTATCTTTGGTTTCAAAACAATTTTATCCTCTCCTCCAACTAGATTGCCATGCATACAAAAGGTGAAGACAATCAGGAGCTGGATTCAGAAGCCACACCAACAAAGATGGGCAGACGAGATCCTCGCACAGATGTTGTTTATCTTCCCTGTCCAGTTTCATCATTGAGTTTAGAGTTGAAGCCCAGTTTGTCATCTATCTTCTCTGAATGGAATCTTGAACATTCAGAGAAGCTAAGACACTTTCTGCCTCTGAGACTGGGAGAGATGATGTCTCTCTTTTCCCAAAGAGTCTACATGGTATTCCATCAGTTTTCTTTTATGAGTTTATGTTGTTTTAACTGGGTGGTAGTAATGTGTACATGGTGGGTTATTCCTTTTCTCTAGATTGGCTTGAGAGTAGACCCACATGCAGAAGATTCCAGGGTTCCACTCATGGTCTGGCAGACTGTGGCATTCAGTATCCACAACACAGAATGGCTACTCCGCTATGACAGCAAGGACCTATTTGGCAGCTTCTCAGCACGTCAACAGGATTGTCTTTCATCTCTTGTCCGCTTTGCATGCACCTTCTCCTCTATCCAGCCCTATCGAGAGGTATAGTTTTGTCCTTGCCTGTTTTAGGTTGCAAAATGAGAAGACAGGATGCTCTGTAATTGGTGTTTTTTTTTGTAGGCTGTCCAATACCATGGTTTAAGGTTGTTGACTTTCCTCCTTGAGCCAAATGATGAGTCTCCTTCCATTTTGGCCATGGATGCCTTCAGTGTCCTCTTGACTCTTGTCTTCTCTCAACGATCTCTCCTTTGTGGGAAAGCCATGCCTGCCTTACCCAAGGGAGATCTCATGGTAAGTAACCAAATTTTTCTGACCATTTCATATGAAATTGCACTGCAGAACTGTGAGGAATCTATCCTTCTGGCTTGGCAGGATCTGAACTGCTTGAAGATGGTTCTCAGCCTGCATGTATTGCAAGTCATGGTTAGCAAGGAACTCTTACTAATCCAGGGAGACCATATGGATACAGATGAAGCCAAAGGTGGGGGAGACAGCCATGCAGTTTATAAAGCTGGCACAGAATCTATCATTGAGAATTCCTGGTAAGATCAGGTGCAAAAGGTACCTCCTGTCTGTATTTGATGAACTGGGCATTGATTTTTCAACAATGAACTACTGGTATGCTTTTAGCCTCCCCTTCATGCGTTGCTGTGCTCTGTTCTTCCACTTCCTCACTGATGTCCCACCAGCTGCTCAGCTCACTGAAAAGGAGGGCTGCACTTATCCAGAACTCTGTCGATACCTAGGACTCCCAACAAGCATTGTGCCAATCATAGATGAGGCCATGAAAGCTGGTCTAATACAGAGGTATGTGAACTCTCTGGCATCTGTTTACCCCTTGATGCAATGCATATTTGCTAACTTTACATCCTCACAGGTGGATGGATCATAGGGTATTTCAAGAATGGCTGAGAAGTAGGTCGTCAAAGCTAGTCCCTTACCCTAATGTGGTGAACAGCCTAGTACCCCTCCCAGAGGAGTATAGTGATCTCATCTGCAGTATCACTGAATTCTCTTGCCCACGAAGTGATGGTGATGAGTCTCGGACACCCACTCTTTGTCTGATCTGTGGTCAAATGCTCTGCTCCAGGGTAAATGGTTTTCATTTTCTTAAAAAGTTTTGGAGAACCTTTCTCACGTTGTAGATCTTAAAACTTAATGTCTTTCCATGTCAGAGCTACTGCTGTCAAGTGGAAGTGGAGGATCGCCAGACAATAGGTGCTTGTACACATCATTCTATCTCTTGCGGAGCAGGAGTTGGGATCTTCCTGCGTGTACCTGAATGCAAAATCCTTCTCCTTGCTGGACGCACAAAAGGTAAATCCACATTAGATCTATTGACTTGTTTGTTTTCACTGATGGACTCATCTGGTGACATGCTCCCTTTTTCATGCAAGGATGCTTCATCTCTCCACCTTATCTGGATGACTATGGCGAGACAGATGCAGGTCTGCGACGTGGCAATCCTCTCCATCTCAGCCGTGAGAGCTACCAGAAATTGGAAAGACTCTGGCTGGGACATGGTATCCCAGAGAAGATAAATCATGTCATGGAGGCAAACCCTGGTATCCTAGTCCAAGAGTGGCATCATTATTGATCATGATTGCTCACCTGCTCATGTCTCCCCTCCAGTCTTTCTTTCATCTCACCTTCCTTTCATTTTCCCGGTGACAGTGATGGAGGAAAACTTCAAAGACATTGTGTTCCCGTTACCTATGGGTGTTCAAAACTTGTTTAGTTTCCCATTTCCTTTGGATATTAATTTTTTTTGTATCATCCTGGATGTAGCTAGTATCACCCTTGTCTGAATAGTCTCACCTTTTGGTATCTCATTCATTAAACAGCATGAAGAATGAGAGAGATGATGTGAATAAAAGTGTGTGAAAAATAAATAAATAAATAACTGGATTTGCTTCCATGTAAGAATCAAGATGTGTGACAAATCGTACAGTAATGAAGGGAATAGTCTTGGTTACTTTGGCCCCTCTGCTGGTCAGATGTTGATGTGTGCCTGCCTATACGTTCAAGATTCTGTCATACTGAGAGTATTGATTTGGTCCTGTCCCAGATTTTCTATAAAATAAAAGTTCCATCTCTCTTGTGGAGCCACATAGTGTCCCCCATCTACAGTACATCCACAACAATGTTAGTGCACCTGCACTAACTTTCTCCAAATGATTTCATCTGACCTCCTTGTTCAGACATGAACAAGTGGCTTATAAAGAGCTCTTGAGGGCTGAGGTTTGTAAAAAAAAGTAAACTGCATCAGTCAGTTAATAGGACTAATGGGCAAATCTTCAACAGCAATATGTTTCACATTCACCATACTTCATATTAAGTGATCTCTGATGCCAGAGTTGAGAGATGACTCAGGTTCAATCTCTCACAATGTTGAGATTCACTGCCTCCCTTCGCCATGTGGGTATAACATCCATCATGCCCCCTGCCTGTAAGCATCAGCCTACTACTATATATCTCATGCTCTCATCTCATGCTATCTCTTAGTTTTAGGACCAAGTTATACCTTGTTTTACCTTACAAATTTCTGGTTTTTTTTTTAGTTAAGCGCTTCCTGCATGGTTCTCCTGGAGTAGCCTATGCTGCAAAACTGTCTCATGCCCAATCGCATGAAGCAACTGGAGGTAAAGATGTTGTGTTTGTGGATGGTGCTCGAACTCCTTTCCTTCAATCTGGCACGCAATTCAGCAAGCTCATGCCTCATGACCTTCAGAGAAATGCTCTCTTGTGAGTCAGTTCATATTCCATGGTATCATAGTGGTCAATGCCATGATGAGATACATCAAAGTGAATTGTGTGCTTAAATAAGGCAAGGTGATATATTTTATCAAGTCACTGTATCTTAACATATATTCTGTACATTCTGGCTACACAGGGGCATAATGCAGCGAACTGGCTTGCCAAAGGAGGTGGTAGAATACATTTGCATAGGAACAGTGATACAAGAGGTGAAAACAAGCAATATAGCTCGAGAGTCTGCTTTAGCTGCAGGCTTCCCCAAGAGTACTCCTGCCCATACAGTCACAATGGCTTGCATCTCCTCCAACCAAGCTATTACCTCCTGTAAGTACTCACCAGCAATCATGAACTAGAGAATAATGCAAGGACCATATTTCAGATATTCTGCTCTGTTTGAAGGTGTAGGACTGATTGCTGCTGGGGTCTATAAAGTTTGCGTGGCAGGAGGAGTAGAGTTCCTCTCTGATGTTCCCATTCGTCACTCGCGTTCCATGCGATCCCTCATGTTGCGAGCTGGTAAGGCCAAAACTCCAATGCAACAACTTCAACTCCTTTCAACCCTTCGACCAAAGCACTTCCTTCCAGAGGTGAAAGGATCTGCAACATCTCCCATGGTGCTTTTGTTTTTAAGGATAGGTCTGAATTTCAGGAAGCATAATTCAGCCATGCTTTTCTCATTCTCCAGTTGCCAGCTGTGGCAGAATTCTCCACAAATGAGACTATGGGGCATTCCGGAGATCGCTTGGCATCTGCTTTTGGTGTGTCACGGCAAGAACAAGACGAGTATGCCATCCGCTCGCACACTTTGGCATATGAAGCCCATGAAAAGGGTCTCCTTAAGGATATTATTCCATATCTTGGTATTTTTTTATGTTTCACTCTTCATTCAAAACTATTGCTATAAATCTTAGAGTAAATTTCATTATTTATGTAGTGCCAGGATCAGATGAATACATCACACGAGACAATGGAGTTCGTGTGTCAACAAAAGCACAAATGGCCAAGTTGAAACCTGCTTTTATTCGCCCATATGGGACAGTCACTGCTGGGAATGCCTCATTTCTGGTAAAGCCCCATTTCTGGTGAACTCCAGATTTAAAAAATATTGTAACTTTCCCAGCATTCCATATCGTGAGATGCTCCTCACAGAGCCTGAATTTTGTCTATTAAAATTCTGTTGCACTTTTTGCTTTCAGACTGATGGAGCTTCTGCTTCCATCATCACAACAGCTCAGAAAGCAAAGGAACTTGGACTTAGTCCCAAAGCTTTCATTAGAGAGTTTGTGTATGTTTCCCAGGATCCAAAGGACCAGCTTCTGCTTGGGTGAGTGTAAGATGACTGCTTGGGAGACCCATGCTTTCTTAATGGAATCAGCACCCCCAGAAGCACACCAATACATGCACATAGTCATTGAATACAGTGATATCCTTTTATAATGAAGAGGCAGGAGACAGTACAAATTATTTAGGTACAGGGTGGCCCAGAAACAATTACCCATTTTTTAAGTGGTACTGCAGCGTAATGGATGGAGATAGAGAGCCATAATTTCACAGGTATGTAGTCTGGTGCATGCTTATTTGCAAGAGGTTCCGTTGCTGATGTTGTCTGCATTTGACAGTACATAGAATGTGTTGGACTTCATAAGATTGCTGCATCAACCTTGGCTCTGTATGCTGGCATTCAGACACTCTTGGGCCTTCCAAGAGGTCACACATTCTGGCAGGAATCTGTATATTACTCATAAATCTTGCAGTTGCATTTAGCAGAGGAGGAAAAACAGGCTCATGGACTATACAGTGGAAGAAATCTCTCCCAAGGGATGTATAACATTAGGTGACTCAATGACATAGGTGGAGGTGGGGTGGCTGCCCCACCTGTCTTAGAGGGTAGGTGGGGTGGTCCTTATGGGTTCCATGAAAAGTTGATATAACAGGAATATTTGTACTGGCACTTTTGTACTTTGTGCACTGCTGCCATGACTATCTGAATGAGGAAGAAGGATGAGATTGAGCATAGAGTCTAAACTGTAAATTTCCATTATCATATCATCTGAGTAGTGGTGTAGCCATGGGGGAATCCTCTTTGGGAATGTGCCATATTTACAGTGGCAGAAACTGAGTATCATCACTCTTCATGATTCTTGTATTCATTGCATTTTATGATGGTTCAGGGTATTAGTCACTAGATGGTAGGCCAGGAGGTATTCAGTAAGATTATGGCTTAGATGCAAATGAGCAAAAGGCATGCTGTCTGATTGCAAAGTCACTCCATATCCTCTTCCCCCACCTTGACCCCTTTGCTCAATGCTCACCTTCACCCTCCAATCAAACCTCCTCCCCCATTATTATCATTTTAACCCCCAAGAAAGGAGACCCTAGGTATTCCAAAACAATCTGAGATGAACCAGAGGAGGGGGGGTGGTAGTCATTGGGGCAGGGCTACCCCATCTGGTAAAAATGCTGGACATATTGCTGTTGAAGCTCAGATGTTGACCAGTCTGTTGATAGATTGTGGTTACACTTATGATATTGAGGATGAGGGTGATGAATCTGCACATAGTAAAAAAGCCTGGAGGTTCTCAAATATTTCCTCTCTTCATCAATTCTTATTGCAGTATATCATATACTAGACATCTCACTTGTTTCCTTAAAGACAACGATGACAAGTATAATAATTATATTGGAACATGATATGGAATAATATTGTCTTTGCCAGAATTACTAATGCAGATAATGACCTTCCATCTCTTTACTTAGCCCTTCCTATGCCATTCCAACTGTGCTGGAAAGAGCTGAGTTAAAAATGCAGGACATAGATGTCTGGGAAATCCATGAAGCCTTTGCTGTAAGTTTTTCTGGTTTATTCAAGGAAAGTGAAAGAAAGGAATTGAAAGTGAGTTTTATATTGCTCCTTCTTCCCAGGGTCAAATTTTAGCCAACTTCAAAGCCATGGATTCAGATTGGTTTGCACAAAACTACATGGGACGGTCTGGGAAAGTTGGGGTGCCTCCACTGGAGAAAGTGAATAGCTGGGGTGGATCACTGAGCATTGGGCACCCATTTGGAGCAACTGGAGTGCGACTTGTCACCCATGCAGCCAACAGGTTGATACATGAAGGTGGCAGGTATGCCTGTATTGCTGCTTGTGCTGCTGGTGGACAGGTAGGAGCATCATTTATTCCATTTCATAAATGTTTCATGTGTAATATTCCATTTTTTCAATACCAGGGAGTGGGAATGATCCTGGAGAGATGCCCTGATGCCAAGTTCTGATTCAGTTTGGGATACATTTGCCCCCTTCCCTCTATTCCTTTCCTGCCTTTTTATTTTGTGTATTCCATTCATCTTCTGGGTTACCAAATTCACTATCATACATTGTGGCTGGTGATATTTTTATACATTAGGCCTTTCAACATAAAAGTATAGATTGCCAGAAATTCCATTTCTTAATATTGGAATTGAATGTGCAAAAATGCTGATTTTGGTTATCTGGGTGGCTTACTAGAGTTGTCCTAAATTACAAAAAATAAAATAAAGTTTGGCCAAGATGTAGCAACATGAGTTTTATTCATATCAAGATTTTTTATATATCCTATTTTTAAAAAGCATAAAATCATGATTCTGTCAGGTGAGAAAAGCACTACAGCAAAAATGCACCTTGCTCAGAAGGAAGGAAGAAACTGAGTTGCTCTTGTAACATTAATTGAATGCTTCAGAACATTATTGGAGGCATTGACATAGTGCTACCATGATACCTCATATCTATAAAGAGACTGCTATAAGATGATACCGATGCCTAAGTCCACCACCAAAGACTAGATTCTTTCGGAGCTGAACTAGACATGACACTCATTCTCAACCTGGTTTGGAGAGAGGAAGACAGATCAGGAAATTAATCTGCTATGCAGGTGATAGATGGAGAGAAAACTTCCTTCATTTGTTAGAGTTAGAGAGAGTTAAGATTTATCACAGGCAGTATAGTAATATTTCAGGTACACATAAAATAGTCACTTGGTTAGTCCCTGACACCAGAGAAGTTTGAGAAACACTGCATTTTGAATTATACACTCACGGGGAAAGGAAGTACATTTTGATCATAACATCATCACACTCAATTTGAATTTCAGTTTTAAACTCATTTTACAGTTTGGCCATGTTCTTACACGAATCTGTGTTCAGATTAATATTTACTTTATTAGAACAAGGTTTTAAAAATTTCTAAAGCGTGAAGCTGATTCCATGATATTTAGCAGAAGTCATGAAGGAGCATTCAACCAAGTTTTTCGAATTCCTCTTGTGTCACCTCGTGAACTTTTGCCTTATCTTTCTTAGCGAGTTTCTTCTTCTTCGCCGTGAGGAGCTCGGCGGCCTTCTTTGAATTCTTCTCGGGCTTGTCAAACTCGGATGGATTAAAGTTGAAGCCAAAGCCAACCTTGTAAACGGGCAGCTCATCCAAGGGAATCACAGTCGACGATACCGGGATCATCACTGCAGAAAAAATGTTTAAATATATATTACTCACAAAAAGTTTAACAACTCCCGATATTAAAGGGTGGTAGCATGTAATTTTTATCCAGCTGCAGATAAGCACATTGCTGCTCATTTTCTCTTGTTGGCAATAATGTAGGCATGATGTATCAATACATCGTGAAAAAATCACTCATCAATCAAATTTGCTTTTATAAAAATGATTGCAGAGGCTGAAAGATGTTGAATCGATAACAACATTTACATCCCCACCAATCAACACCCTCATCCATAAGCGTAGCGTGGATGGAAAAAAAGTGGGAGGCACGGGAACTCGGGATTCTGTTATGCATTTCTAGGTCTTTTCCTTCTTTCTTTTGGCTGCATTTCTCGAAAATTTCGGGGGGGCCACGTGCCCCCCCCCCCCCTCTCATTACAATCTGCTCTCATTACAACCAAAAAAGTCTGATTTCTTAATAAACTCAAGTTCTTGAAACTCATGTGCGTATATTTGTCAATTAAAGGCTACGGCTAGGTTGGTGGCCACTTCACCAATGAAGATGGGTAGAGAAAGATCACTAAGTCATTATTAACGATCAAGTGCCGTTGGTATGATTGAGGCTGGATTGTTAAACGCAAAAATTGCCAGATATTTTGGTGTATTTAAGAGCACCATATTTCGAATAATGGTGAGGTTTACAGGTACAAACTCAGACCGGGCAGGCCTCGGTCTGGATGCCCAAGTCACCCATCACAGACGAGACAGATCTCTGCAGCTTGACATGAGGCCTGGAGATTGCATACAATATAATAATGCCAGGCCTCATCGGGCGCACGTGATCCACCCATTCCTGAAGCAGAACCAAATCAACAGAATGGACTAGCCTTAGAGCCAAATCCTATGAATGGACAATTCACCGTATGTGGCTCCATTTAGCTTGTTTAGGACCTGCTGGGCAAATGTGTCCATAACCGCCCGCAACCTCCTTAGATTCTTCAATAACTTGAAGCTGCTCTGTCGTGGAAATGGGGAAACATCCCCAAGGGACAGATCCAGAGGATCATCAGCAATATGAGGAGGCGCTGTCAAGGATGTCTACGAGCAAGGGGTGGTCATACTCGTTACTAGAGATACAGAGTATGGAAAATTTCCTGTGTGAACTTCAGTTTTCTTTCCCTCGTCTTTGACCTTTAATTACAGCGTCATACCACATTGACCATTATTTGTTTCGGGACAAATTAATTCCGTTACAATTATTTTATAAAACACGAGCTGCTATGCTCAAAGTTTGTTATGATTAATTTTTATTCTAGAAAGTCACAAGGTTGAAAAACTTTTTGTGGATTGTACATATTGGGTGACCCCAAAAAAGTTCACCAATTTTACATGCCTTCAGACGGAACACGTAATAAGCGTGTTGCCGAGGATTGCCGAGAATTTCAATTAAATTGTTCGGAATAAAAGAAACAGCGTTTTCCCCCCACGATATCAACAGTATGCCAATAACTTGTGCTTAACCATCTCATTTCAGTTCTTTGAACTCTGTTTATATTTGGCATGCAGTGGTATTATGATGAGAATATCGTACAGCCAAAATTTTAGTCTCTACGTCAAACGAGAGCTGTGATACAGGAATTTGACATTTGGCACTGCAGGAGCGAAAGATGCCCCCACCTCCGGGGCCAACTTCCTTACTTTTCGTCCTAAAGAATCGATCAATACCTCACATTAAAGCCGGAAGTAGGGGAAATATAAATATATAAGCAGGTTTAATTCACTTTTAATAGGAAAATTTTAAACTCGAAAATTGCCGATAGATGTTCATCTCCCAATTCTTTATGTGGGAATCATAACACTTGTGTCGAATTCAGGATGGAATAAGTCCCGGCATCTACGATCCACTATACCAAGTGATTTCAGGTTTTCCAATTCCCATATAATTTTTTTCAATTTCATATGGGAACATTGGTAATTAATTACAAATTCGTGGTTTTTTTTACCAATTAAGTCAATAAAAAAAAAGAAAATTGAAATGCCATGGAAGTTTTGGAGCTTGGAGCGTAGAATCTGAAATGGTTGGAACCATTTTCAAGCATGGGGTTGAAGTTAAACCACCGTATATCTGCCCTCGTTTGCCTGAAAGACCTTAGCTTTTGACGGTAAATTTTTCCTACGATATTCCGACTCCGAATCAAAAATTTAATCAAGTCCTTAAACGGTCGAACCCATAACACTGACGCACTTCCGGAGGAATGATCCCTGGGTGAAATTCTGCAACAGGGCATATTATTGTTGAGACAAGCAGAGCCGGCCCTAGCAATTTCGGTGCCCTGTGCAAAGAGACACCCAACGCCGCCCCACCCCCGGAAAGGAGAAGGATGAATCCTTCGCGCTCAAAATGGCACCGAAACGGAAGGCATTTCCACTTTATGAAGTAAAACTGAGGGTGACATTCATCGCTGCTTCATACATAAAAATTTAGTCACGTTTTGGCGCCCCAGGTGAAATTGCGCCCTGTGCGAAGGCACGTGTGGCACTGGAGGCATTGGAGACAAGGATACTGACAAAAATTCTAATCCTCGTTCCAATACCTCGTAGCCTTTCAATGTCGATCACTTACCAAACTCACCATTCTTGGTCGCATTTATAAAACTATCTTTCTCTCAAAAAAAACGACTAGGCTTTCTTCAATGTACCCCGGATGCTGAGAAAAACGAAAAGCGCCGATCTTTGAAGTTCTATTGATATATCAGTCATAGCGACAGAAATGTACGTTTTGGGATTAATGGAACCACGTATTTTCTTTTAGAGAAAACCCTTTTTAATTTCCTGTCCCGTTTAGCCACAGAAGCATTTTGACTGTAACGGGTAAAACTTTCAGAATTCACCGGTTTATTATTATCTCGCCGAGAAAGGAAAGCCAATACGCTAGATCGTTTTCACCTCAACTTGTCTATCGCGTTGGGTGTGATAATGCAGTTGTCTAAAGCAGACAAAGCCGTATTAAAGAGAATTTTCTGAACTTGAGTGTGCATTGATTCCATTAAACGAGCGGGTCTTCAGTAAAAACTGCAGCTCAATGCCGTCGTCCAGATTCAGGCCGTCCCATCGTACAACAGTTTTAGTGAGCTTTCTTGAACTGGCGGGGATTTCCAAGCATTTTAAAAGAGAAATTTGACATGCTTGTTTGGCTTAACCAGCGGAGGAAAAATTCGAAAACTAATTTACATTATAGGAAACAAGTATATGCATACCAGTTGGGACATACACAGATACAGCGAATCTTTACTTTTTCATATAGAATCATACCAACAGTGGCACATCTTTCTCACTGCACGCGGTAGATCTACGTTACTACAGGCATATGTTACTACCAGTGGCGTAACGAGGGGGGGTTGGGGGGGGGGCTTCAGCCCCCCCCAAGTTTGGTTCAAGCCCCCCAACTCCGATCTAAATGCATCCCCCCCCCCTTCCCCACCGGACGAGGAGAAGTAAGTCCCCCACCGTTCCGCTTAGCCCCCCCATCGGCGAAACCCTGGCTATGCCACTGGTTACTACGTTACAGTGTCTTAGAGTGGTTATGTTTGTTTGTTTTTTTTTTTTTCCCGTTATACAGGTGTTGTGCTATGGATGTTATAAGACTTTTGTCCCAGTCCGCGAGAGACAAGGCGATTGAGATGAGGCGATGTGTGGGATTGCGGAGATTCGGGGCGTGAAACTCAAGGAAAACGGTTACCCTCGTCCTCCATAACGGTTTACTTCCCTCATTTCTCCCTCGTCTCTCTTTCCTTTCGAATCCTCGCCTGTATGCCATGGCCACATTAATGCTCCCCTGCGAAAATCCCCTCCAACAAAGGACTGCGCCCTTCGCAGAAAGGCAAAGAATGCCTTTCCTCAATTCAAGGGACAACCACTAGGTCCCTGTGACCATTTGGCAGGGTCAAGTTGGCCCGAGAACCCTCTTTCCGTTGAACAGAAACACATACCGTGTAGGTTTTACATTCTACGTTTTGAACGTGTTGTCTGTGACGACTGAGTGGTGAAAGATGAATAGAATGGAATGGATGGAAGTAAAAAAGGGGTGGGAGTCGCCTGAGGGAATGCTTCGCCCTTGCCTTCCGATGACGTCTCACCATCAGCATTCACTTCACAATCTCTCTCCCTCATGCCCAAATTTGGTATCCTCAAGGACAGGACTCGTTTCATGGCCGATCCTAAGTTCCAACCTTGGAATACTCTATCTGAGTATCAGAAATGCAAATCCTTGAACTGGAGAATGGCATGATTGACTCGCCTGTTCTGATCGTTGGGATCATGACCTGACCTAATTTGGCATGAATCCGCATCTCTCATTTGTACCTCACATATGTGACCATGCTTTTGTGTCTGATAAGGAGAAACTCCGAAATTCCAAAGAATTCTCAAAATTCTGAAAATTGCCATGGGGAAAACAAATGTTTCTAAAGGCCTCTATCATTGTGACTGGCAAGTCCGGGATTCAGAAAATGTTTATTACATTCAACCCCCGTTCTGAAACTCTTCCCTTCATAAGTAATTGCACAAGAAAGTTTCTTTTTCACGAGAAAGATTTGGAACGAGACCTGTAAACAAGACAGCTTTCATATAGCACAGTTCGGCAGCAGGAACTGTCATCCTTCCTTCTCCCAGATGTCTTTCATTAGGGCTACCTTTCTTCCTCTCCTGCTGCTGGTTTTTATCATACCTTACTTTAAAGGTTTACATAGCTTTGACTTTTACAATAAAGCAGCGTCACCTTTTCACAGAGGAATATAATTAATAATAATTTCTCACCTGGTTCGTATTTCTGTCCTCGGGTGCGTTCATAGCGAATGGCCTTTCCAGACACAAGCGTGGACACGGTAAGGAGGGAAAGAAGGAAGAACACCTGGTAGTACCTCATCTTCAGGTACTTGTACTGTCTTTGTACCGTACCGCACACGACTTCAAGGGGGCTGGTCCAGCCCCAGTCGAAACTACGATAGACCGATGAATCACAGCTGGCCTGTACCGGAGGAAAAGGGGGTACGAAGTGACGCCTGATTTTTTTTTCTTTCTCCTGAGGCCGACGCCAACGGGGACGAAGGAGAGAGACCGAGGAGAGATGACTTTCTCTCGGATGTGGGTCAGGCCAGCGCAACTGAGGCGAGCCAGGCAAGTTTCCTTATTTGAATCTCTCGCCGTGGGTGACGCAAGCACACAATTCTTTCCTCGGGTCACAGTCCCATATCGTACTGCCTCGCACGAAACTCTTCCGCCTCTCCCAATTTCGCCCTTTAGGGTCAACGACACGGCTCTCTTTCGTACAATACCCTTACCCTTCTCTGTAGTCCTCTCATGTCACTGGAATACATCAGACGACAAGGGCGGATCGAGGAATTATTCATGATGGGGGCAGAAGACTTGACGAACGGGGCGGGAAGAAGGCGAAGAAGAGAACGGAGGGCCGATGAGGGAAAGGGCATCTTTATAGTCCTAACATGTTAGACTTCTGAAAAACTTGAACTCTTACCTCTGCTGGCCGGTTGGGAAATTATGGCTCCATGGGTGGTCGGGGGGGAGGTCGCCTTCCCAGTTTCCTTCTCTTGGATGCGCCACTGCAAGACGATCGTATGTGACCACGACAAAAAGATGGCATTGAATTCTACTGGTAGAAATCGTCATTGTTTCGTCAGCGTGAATGAGCATGCCAAAGATTGTGGGCTAGATGCATGAAATACAATCAATGGTCCTATTTTAAAAAGTGCTCGAACGCCGTACCGCAGTGGGGTTGCTCTTGCTGGATAGTTTACGTTAACGATACGATAATCGTGTGTAGTGATTACGGAGAAGATTATTACGCCAATGCATTTTTTTTTCTGATGCCTCTTAGGAGCTTGCAACCCAGATAGGAGCAAGTATTATTGAAGAGGACGCGATTGATGCCGTTTCAGAAACGCATAAAAAAACTGTATTAAAAAAAGAATTTACATACTTCTGCATATTTACACATATTTTACCCTTTCTCTGCGAATAAATTTTTTTGTAGGAAAACTTTTATTATGGGCAATTATGACAATTTTCCAGCAGTTATGAACTGTGACAAGAATTGACAAATTATGCACAGCAGACACCTGATTTTATCGCTAAGCTCCCCCTTCCTTGAAATGTACATTGTAATTCCCTCTTCCAAAGAATTCATTCTGGGTCATAAAATACATGTTTTGCAGATTTTCCCTCTTTCGTGCACATTCCATGCATATTTTTATTTTTAAAGCGTATATTTATGTGCATGTATTTGGAAATGATAATCCGCTCCCCAGTGATGATGCTTTGCAACTGAAATCAACCGAAATCAGAAATATTGGGTAAGTTTGTGGGAAATTTTAATTTAAGAAAATAATTTAGGGAAATGTAAAAAGAGCACAAGAACGTTCAGGAAAACGTTCAACCCGTGCTCAAAGAGGTTTCTAACGTTCAGTGTTGATGGATTGGCAATTTTTGAGCACTCAATTAGGATGCTATTTGATCACCTATTCGTACTGACGTTTCTGGAGGACATTACTTGAGTGGTCAATATTTTTTTTTTCAACGAATCTGCGCCACTTGGAGGGGGCAGCGGGCGCGCCATCTGACGGTTGCTTGAACATATAGGGTTCGCACAAGCGAAGCGAGATAACGCCCAAATCGCCTGTGTAACGAATCACTTCCTGATACCGTTGTCTGAAATAAGTCCCCAGTTCTTTACAAACGGTACAGGATCTGCCCTCCCTCCCCCACCCCTCCAGGCCACTTTGCGGAAGACAATGGAATTCTTCAATGCATTCTTGTAAAGAGGAGACTCAACCCAGAAAGACACCGGACATTTTTGGCTGGAGGGTGGAGGAAGGATAGTTTATCTTGCAAGTTGACTCAATGGCATAGTGATAAGGATGACACTGAACAGTGAAGGAATTACACGTCGCTGTGAAGGCCGTGTCTGACTCCTCAAGAGGAGATTTAATCCGGGTAGATCCGGGTGTGATGAAAGACATCATTCTCTATCTAACACTTAACTCCGGAGCAGGAAAAGAACCAGTTATGCCTAAGAAATCAGAAAGGCTTTTACTACTGAGAGGGAAGTTAAAGTCTCACAAGGAGACCTTCAAGAGAAAGTAGTACTCCCAACCAGCTCGGGTAAGGCTCGGCAGCATGAAGTGTGGAGCAGGATGTTCAATGCATGTTGGCTCGACCATAAAATAAGAAATCCTAATAACGTTCATATCTTTGATTCCAACCCCGGAGGGCCCATTCTTTGCAAAGGCGCATTTTCCGGCGGAATCCTCTCTGATCAAATGAAAGAGAGATCTAAAGAACATTGAAACTTGCAGCAGAAATACCTGTTGGATTGCTGACTGCATATCCTACTTTTCAAATATGATCCCTCAGGGCAAGTAATGAAGAGATTTGACGTTAGGCACGCAAGAAATAATCGAAGTAATTATTTCGAGGAAAATATCGGTTTATTCTCTCTCGGCAGACATTTTGACAGGCACAAATTTTTTATACGTTTTTGCCACTTTGAAAATAAGTTTTAAAAAATAAATCACTACACCACCTGGACAATGTAGCGCCGAAGGCGCGACCGGCTAGTATATATATACGTTTAGTTGTGTTGTCTGCTGTGGTCGAGCTTCTCGCGCGCTGCTTCACAATTTAGAGCAACGTTGGGTAGTTTAGTGCTGTGGCGCTCTTTTGCGCCATTTTTGCAGTATATATATATGGGTCATTCCACGGCAAAAGGGACAAATAAATAAAAATTTCAAAACGAATGGGCAATCCAACAGTGAATGTCGCCACAAAGAGTACATCCTAAAGAACAAAAAAGTCAGTGTTGTGATCATCTTAACTGCGATGTCATGCAACATCGCCAACTTTAATTTAAGGCATCCAAGGTGACCTCTTCATAGTATACACCACATTGTGGTGATTTCTTGAAGATGTTACGTAGGCAAGAGCTGAAAATCTGGGGGTGTGTGATATATGATGCGTTCTCTCAAAGGAGCCGTCTCATCCTCAGTTACCGATGAAAACGAATCTTCTGCGACGTCTTGAAGATGGATGCATTTTCACGTGTAACATGAGTCACGGAAATTGCCATTTTGATTGTCACCACTCTGTCTTTGCTTTCACGAGCAAATGCTGCTGGTTCCTCCTAGCTATACATTAGTCCAATCAAACAAAATAAGACTTGGACCACGAACGGCATCAGTGCAATATCCATTGGTTGTGCCACTTTTGTAACGTGAGTCATGCGTGGCACAAGTCACAGTCATCGTTTTCTTTCTCTATATTGATTTGTTGTGTACGTGAATAAAATAATGCAATAAAATGCTGCTGAAGGACAGAAACGAAGGAGAGAAAAGCAGAAGCAAGGAGGGAAGTATAATGAAAGTATCATGTGATGGAACTACAGTGTTGACAAAAAAAAAGGTAAGCTACTCCAAACTTTCCAATAAAACCCATATTTTAGAACGGATTGACTTCAAAATTTAAAGGAACATTGCCCAGCATGTTCTTCAATATGTGTTCAAATTTCATATGGCTGCAATTTTGCAATCTTGAGTTATGACAGATTTTCTTGAAATTAATAAAATGCTGAGTGAGAAGGATTGCTGCTGCCATTGCGAGGGACTAATCCACATTAAAATCCTAATTGAAAATTCCGTTTAACGAGGAATCATAGTGAAAGTTTTACAGGATGTCACCAAAAGTGTGTTTTTCACTATCTGAAAATTTATTGCTCATGTATAAATTTCATGAACGCCAATGCAAATGTGGATTCATGCTTCCCAGCGGCACTGGCATGCCTGTTCACTCAGAATTTTGCCCATTTCAACAAAACCTGCCATAACTGAAGAATAGAAGTCCCAGACATATGCCATTTTAAAAACCCTTGAAGAACATATTAGGTAACGTTCCATTAAATTTGGAAGTCAATCCGTTCAAATGTATGGATTTTATTGCAAAATTTCGCGCGGCTTACTTTTTTTGACCAACCCTATACATACGAGGTACTACTACCACAATATTGATTTTTGAATGTCTGGGGTAAAGTTCGGACTGCTTCGATGACTGGTCTTGTTCTCATCATGCATTCATCATCCTTCCCTTCTTGCTTCAGCTTTTCCTCCTTCGTTTCTGCCTTTCAGCAGCGCTTTATTGGATTTTTTTTTACTAACATGCCGAATCAATATAGAGAAAGAAATTCAACACCGTGTGACTCACGTTACGAAAGATGCATAGCCAAAAAATATTAGCCTGATGTAGTCTATGGTCCGAGTCCTATAGTGCTGGATCGGAACCCTGTATAGCTAAGAGGAACCAACAGCATTTCAAGCAAAGAGACAGTAGTTATAATTAAAATGGCAATTTTTGTCACTCAATTTATACGTGAAAACCCATTCATCTGCAATACATCGCAAAAGATTTGTTTTGCATTGGTACTTGAGGGCTTTTTTGGTAGTAGCATCTCAGCTGAAGGTGTTTTTATGGTAACACCTAATAGAGTTGCAAGCAGTGGCGTATTTTCCGGGGGTACGAGGGGCAGGGGAGTTGATTCATTTTCGTGCTTGTAGTACAAGCATGACAGCTGAATCGTCGAGTTAGGTAGAGTCAAGTCGAGGCCAGGGCATTATTAACGAAGGCTTGGTAATGCAAGAATGCGGAATCCCAGATGACATGATGAGGACTCAGTCGGACAATCATCGAATCGGTAGTTGCAGAAATGTACGTGAGAGGTCGTAAGGCTCTAAAGGAGGTTCACGGTGGAAGGTGGCTTAGGGGGCACGGCACGGGCACAGAATTAAACAGGCACCAGTAGGCGCCGTCCGGCTTTGCCGCCTGCAGTCTGGGTCTGGCAGTGATCTTGACAAGGTCAGCCTCTCGAGGCCTACCCTTCTCCTCTTTTACTGTTCTCCATCCGACTTCGCCATGTCTAAGCGGTTTTATCGGGTCGATTCCATGAAGGATATTTCCTTCTTCGATAAAGGAGAGTTGGCCAGGATTCAAAACGCATTCGTCTTCGAAATCTCGTGGGAGGTTGCAAACAAAGGTGAGAGAATTGAATAAGTTCCCTGCCCTAGATGAGGTTGATTAAAAAGTGATACATTCAACGCTGCTAAGTATCGAATTCAATTTGTATATTAGAAGTACCAAACAAATGGAGCTGATAGTAAATGTTTGCTTGAAACCTTTTCATAACTGAAGCTGGCAGAAGATATGCCTAGCCTAAGAAGACATGTTCCCCCAAACTTTCCTTGTTATTCATGATTTAAACTGATTGGTGGTACCTGAATGCTGTTGACTTTCAATGCCACAGTTTACCCCCTTTAGTCCATCAGATTCTGTGAATCAATTGCTTGACATCCTGTTTAAGGTTTAGAAGTGGTGCTTAAGTGCTGGTTTCCTTTCCAAACATCTGGAAAACTGTTTTTGAGTGGCTACTGAAATATTGATGCAAGGTCAGCCAAGGTGTAGTGGTGTATTTGGTGCCATGAATCTTTAGCCCCCCCTCTTCCATGATGATGAAGCAAAGCACATGTTATTTCTGAATTAAGTATTGTACATTTGCAAGCGAAATCTCAATATTGTATGGCCACTGGCCTTGTTGACATCTTCAAGGCAAGATGGGTAGGATTGCTGCAAATTTAGGTAGAGGTCAGTGTCAAACTCAAAAATTCAGAGAAATGGTGCAACAGCTTCAAGTAGTGACAATGGGAAAACTGTTGCCCAAGAGGTCTACGGTCATCAGATCCACAACTCCTACTTTCAATGTTGAACTTGCTATCTTCACTGGTACTGAGTTCAGGGGAATTCCATGGGCAGTGTGTTGCTGAATAAATCAATGTTGATGTTTTTCCATGGATCCTTAATGATGAAGGCTTCCAAGCAAGGATCCCAGTTGTGAAATATCACTTGGTCAACGTTCAAGACATTTAGGTTCTTGCAGAAAGAGCATTTTCAATTAAAATACCATAAGTATTGGATCTAGTGACACTTCTTCCTGATAAGGACCTTCTTGCATTCAAGTCATCATCAGGGTTAGTGGTAGGTACATACAATACTGAGATTTAGCCTGTAAATGTAGAACTAAATACTTCATTCAGAATTAAAAACCTATTTTACTTCACTGTTACATTTTTCTGCTATAGGGTGGTTTTGTGACTCCCTCTATTTTATTGAGAAGGTCTAGGTACAGAAGTGTGTTTACTGGGGACATCTAAGCACAATGTCATTTTAAATGGGGCAGCTGTCTTCCCCTGTCACCTCGAGTCATTGCTTTGTACCCCCAATAAGGTTGTTTTTTTTTCCTTCCTTGGGAATCCTGGTACAGCTGTTACAAGAAATTTCCATAAAAGAAACAGCTGGTTTGTTGCTCATACAACCTTGTTCCCTTAATAGAAAATAATAGTTTTTTTGTTTGTGTAAAAGGTGAACTGAAGTGTTGATACATACTACTTTTCCTCACTTTTAACAAGACAGTCATTGGAATATTCACTCATTTCATATGGAGTTTAAGGAAAGAAGTATTTGCAGATGCACCACTTTGCCTTTCAACCCTTCATTTAAACACATAAATGCCCTGTATATATGAAACAAGAGGGAAGATGTTTTTTGCTCCTTGAAATTCTATTAGAGAGATGGAAAAGGTCCTTTCATCCACATGTCACACTTTGTGCTGATTGTTGGCAAATGGCCTGTTGGAGATGAGCAATTTTTTGTGACCAAGAATGCAGGCAAGCTTTCTGAAATTGCCTATGAATAGTAAACATACAAGGGAATCATTTTGCAATATCCCAAGTAAAAGAACTCTGGTGTTTCTGGTGTTTTTTTCCTTGTTATGTTCAAGGGAGTCATGCCAACCTTCTCTTACCATCCACATTCACTTATTTTTTTCTGTAGTTAGCAAAGAAATTTAATTTGTTTATGCAAGTATCTCCTCCAAATAACTCCTTATCTCACAAAAACCAATGTTTCAATATCCTTGCAGCAGAGGAAAGTTCTGAATTACCTTGAACTGAATAAATTTTTACCCAAACATGTTTGAAATTAACCCCATTTTAAAGAAAAGTATGAAACCCTTTGAGGGCCATCTCATTTTATATTTTAAGTGCATGTCTATATCAAGCTGTCTACTTAGTACAGGATCACTTGGCTGTTAAGTTAGTGGTTTGTTAAGAGATTTAACTGGAGTACATTTAGTCCTTTGGCCTCTTGCATTCTAGAAATCAATGTAAACCTATTGTTACTACAGCAGGCACAATAGCCCTATTTTTACTTTGATGTAATTTACCAAATCCATAAGGAGCTCTAGAAATGTAACAGTTGTGCTTTATTTACAGTGGGTGGAATATATACTGTGTTAAGGTCCAAAGCCAATGTCACAGTAGATGAACTTGGTGATCAATACTGCCTCTTGGGACCTTACAAAGAACACATAGCAAGGACTGAAGTTGAATTCGTGGAATTTCCCCGGAACAGTCCCTACCTGACAGCTGTCAACAAGTTGCGTCAGAATGGCTTTCAGGTGAGATGTAAGAATATGCAAGCAGTTTCAAAATTAGTGCAACCCTATATGTAGAATTTTTTTTAGGAACTTGAATTGAGAATTGAGTGATGAATTTCTGAATGATGTGCTGATTACGTTCAGTATTTACAGTTTATGTGAAAAATCTGGGACAATACTTAATGCAATTGCTGATATTTATGTATTTCAGTTAAATATATTATAGCACTTGTTTATATATAGGGTTGTGCAACTTTTTAAACAACCTGTATATATAATAACCCTTTTTCTTGTAGTATGAGATGAAGTAAACAAAAGACATGCATATTTTTCTTATAGGTGCACACAGGCCGATGGTTGGTTGATGGCAATCCTCAGGTGGTTCTTTTTGATGTTGGATCTGGTGCTTGGAAGTTGCATGACTACAAGAGAGAGTTATGGAACTCCGCTAATATTGGTATCCCATGGGAAGACTCAGAATGTAATGATTCCATGATATTTGGCTTCTTAGTTGCTGATTTCCTTCAAGAGGTAATTGATCCTTCCCTTTTGATACCTATGCTAACCTCTGAGAAACTTGCCACTCTCTTCCATTTCATTTTCAGTTTTACAAGGCTTCAGATGAGGAAGCAGATCAAGCACCAAAAATTGTAGCTCATTTTCATGAATGGCTGGCAGGAGTGGGGCTTATAATGTTGCGTGTACGGCATGCTGAGATCTCCACTATCTTCACAACTCATGCTACATTGCTTGGCCGCTTCCTCTGTGCAGGCAATGTTGACTTTTACAACAACATGGATAAGGTTTGGGAAGGCAGCCTTCATTTAAACATTCTATTTATCCACAGAAATGAATTGGTTGAATTTTTCTTTTTTTTTTGTGCATAGATCAATGTTGATGAAGAAGCTGGAAAGAGGCAAATATATCATCGATATTGCATGGAGCGGGCAGCAGCTCACTTGTGTCATGTCTTCACGACAGTTTCTGATATCACTGCTTTTGAGGCCCAGCATCTGCTGAAAAGGAAGCCTGATCTGGTAACACCAAATGGTCTCAATGTTAAGAAGTTTGCAGCTCTTCATGAATTCCAGAATCTCCATGCCCTTGCCAAGGATAAAATCAATGACTTCGTGAGGGGTCACTTCTATGGGTGAGAAAGGATTCTTATATATATTAGGACTGTAATTATGTATCAGTGTCATTCAATAGATGGAGGCATCTATGAAAATTTTCTGTGATTATACCCCCTTCCCCTCCTTGGTGCTCAGGGTGGTAAAGAATCACTCTAATACATCAGTGCTCCAGTTTCATAATCAATATTTTTTGGGCAATGCATCAATGTTTTCAAAACAACCTTTGTGATAGTCATTAACATTAAAATTAAAATGTTGAAATGCATGGCTATTGACTGTATGAGCTTATGCTTGCATTATGTGTTTGTACATTTGAACTTGTGCATGCTCAGGCAAAAGTTTGCTACACCTTACAGTATTAGTGTTGCCTTGATAGTGTGTGCACTTATTCTCATTACCTTTCAGGGGATTATCCCCTGCATATGAGAAGAATAAGAAAATGTGAGTACACATTTTCACTACTACCCTTCTTTGTTTTTGCCTTTCTTAGTTGTACTTGGAGAGGAAACACAAATTTCTAACTCCCATTATTATGTTGCTGGCATCATTTTCTCATTCTTGGCATAAATTTATTATGTAAAGCAATTAGTAGTCTTAACCCCTTCAGTGAGAGGTTTTCTGAATTGCTGAGAGAAGCTTGAGAATTTCTTGGGCCTACCAGTGAAAGGGTTAATTACCTGTGTTTCATTCTGTTCATAATGCTTGATATCATGCAATAATAAGTGAAATGGGAGTAAAATTCCTGTTTCATTATCACAAACTGTCCAGTGTACTGGACAGAAATTGGCTTGAGGTTATTGAGTCAGGAAGACTGGTAAGTATTATGTTGAGTCATAATAAAAATCCTGGAAATAATTATTTCACCTACTTAATTGTTGTTGGTTACCTGCATGTTGATCACTTTTGTTGCTGGACTGATTTTTTTTGCATTTTTCTGGTTTGCCTTGTTGGTCATAAGAGAATGACAGTGGCAAAAGTTTTGAAATTTGGCATGATTGGCAAATTTTACCTTTGTAGCCAGATATTCCATGGTTCCCACGTGTTACTTATTGTGGATGTTTCGTTTATATTGGGATGCTACTTTTCACTCTCAATAGAGTCTTGGATAGTCTTCCATTCATGCTACTCCCAGTCCTATTGACTATTGGACTTATTTTTGCTCCTGCAAAAGCTTTCTATGGATGAGAATTTCAGGAGTCTTGGGGTACCTGTTTCCCCCTTTTAATTGTGGTAGCCTCACTGTTGCACTCACTGGTTTGGTTCAATAACAGGTCTATATCAACCTGCAAAAATTTTTCCTCTCCTCTTCTTTCCCTACAGCTGAAAACACAACTTCTGCATGGATAGACCTATGAAAAGATATGTCTGAGATCTTCCAATAGACTATGCAAGGGAACAAAAGCTTGTTCTGAGTGCCAGAGTGAAGGAGTGCTTTTATGTTTACTTGTCATTCACCAAACTGCTACATGTAAAAGGGAATTTTACTGGCCTGGACTATATGGAGAAAATTTTTCTAAATTGAATGCTCTTTCCTTGTTTTGTTGGTGATACTGGTAGCCAGCTGCTGTTTCTCACATGAAGTTTAACCCTAAGAATCCCCAGCTGCTGATCTGTTGGCACTGGTTTTATGTGCTAATAGTTAAATTGGATTTATAATGATTTTCAAATAACACTCTACAATTCAGTATAAAACTAACTTGAAAATTTATGCATATACTTAGGCTTGGGAGTGAAAGCATTAAAGGCTTCCAAATTTTTACTTCCTTCCACACCAAGACAGACTGAGCCCTCCTATCTGTTAGCTGTAGCTTTGTTATTTGAATTGAATTGAAAGGTGCCAAAGATTATAAAAATGATTGGTCATTAATATTGACTCTAGAAAAAGTAGACAGAAGGAAGACTTTGACTTCAGAAATACAAGAAACTAGAAATTAAGTTTTGTAATTTTTGCTAGTATTGCACTTTGAAAAAGTGCCATCAGTTTTATCATTAAACTGACATCTCCAATGGATTATATTGCAGGCACTACGACTTTGATCTGGACAAGACTATTTACTTATTCTCAGCTGGTCGGTATGAGTTCATGAACAAGGGTGTAGATATGTTCATCGAAGCTCTGGCTCGACTCAATCACTATCTGCAGGCAACTGATTCTGATAAAACAGTGATTGCCTTCATGATCTTTCCAACTCGGACCAACAACTTCAATGTGGACTCATTACGAGGGCAGGCTATCACAAAGCAGCTCAGAGATACCATTCATGACATTCAAAATCATATTGGAAAACGACTTTATGAAGTCTGCCTCAAGTAAGCATATAAAGTCTCTGTATCTCAGGACATCTGTTGTTGCATGATGTTCTAATGCTGAAAAATAATTTACCTGTTTCTAGTGGAAAAATTCCCCGAGATGATGAGATCCTATTGGCAGAAGAAAGGGTGAAGCTGAAGCGTTGTATCTATGCCCTTCAGCGAACCAATCTTCCCCCCATCACAACGCACAATATTGTTGATGACCACATTGACCCTGTTCTTACTACCCTCCGTCGGTGCAAACTCTTCAATCATAAACATGACAAAGTCAAGGTGAGACCACCACTTAGAATTACTTCTCCCATTATACTAAGAATATATATTGCATTATCTATGTATTGAATGTGGTACTGGTACTTATTCTTTCTTGAAACAGGCTGTATTTCATCCAGAGTTCCTGTCATCCACAAGCCCATTGCTAGGTATGGATTATGAGGAATTTGTGCGTGGCTGCCATCTTGGAGTCTTCCCATCTTATTATGAGCCCTGGGGATACACCCCTGCTGAATGCACTGTCATGGGTATACCCTCCATCACAACCAACCTTTCTGGTCTGTTTTTTTAAGATCACATTTAATTTTATGTCATGCACACCTTTTCATTTGAAATCATTCCATCTTGTTCTGCAGGATTTGGTTGCTTCATGCAAGAACACATTGCAGACCCCATGTCGTATGGCATCTATGTGGTGGATCGTCGATTCCGCAATCCTGAGGAATCTGTTCAACAGCTGGCTACATTCATGTTTGACTTCACCAAGCTCAATCGAAGGCAGCGAATCATTCAAAGAAATCGAACTGAACGACTCTCAGACCTCTTGGACTGGAGAAACCTGGGAATGGTGAGATTCTGATTCTGCAGGCTTTGTCTCAGCCCAGTAAAAGATGAGTGCCTGAAGCTGTGAAACATTTGCAGTATTATCACCAAGCAAGACGACTGGCCCTCCACAGAGTGTTCCCTGAGATAGCTGCTGATGAATCGGGGGGTGTGGGACGCTTCAAGTACCCTCGACCCATTTCAGAACCATCAAGTCCTTCATCTTCTAGGGGTACAACACCTCATCCATCTGAGCATGGCTCTGATGCAGATGACGATGTTGATGAAGAAGCCGAGGTAAAAGCTATCTCTGGCCAGGCCTAATACCTGGGCCGTCTTCTCTCTTCAGTTCATTATTAGTCACTCATGCGAGAGGTGGGTTGTAAGGACAGAATCTTTATTGCATGGATTGGAAAGGTTGCCTTTGTTTCATTCTTAGTCTGTTGTTGCTTGCATCTGGTTTTCATGCCAAGGAGAATGTCAGTCTGCAATTGGCAGAAATCCATAGACAATGTATCAGGGAGTTCAATAGTGTTTTACATGGGTAAGCTTCCATTTTTGCACGGTCAATCATTGAGTGTTCTAGAAATGACTTAGTTTACGATTCACATGAAGGAGTCTAGCTTGATGCAATTGCTATGACAGTGTTAGATGCTTCTACATCATGCTGTGGAAAGTGATACAGAAGGCATCAGCTTTAACATTTATGTATTACAGCTTGATCTAACCTCTCCAACTAATAAGAACCAATTTCTGGTTTCAGTTAGAAGCATTGACCGGGCAGTCAAACGAAGGAAGTCGATGATGAGAGAGCAACAGCCTTCAATCAGCATAGATATCAAAGAAATATCTGTACTGATCAAGATGATCTGCTTCTCATTCCTTATCTACTCAATTTTTTATTAGCATGTTTCTCTTTTTGATTTATGGTAGTGCATTAGGAAGCATTCCTGTTCTCGTTCATTTAGAGAGTATTTGAGAGTTTAAATGGCAAATTTAACCCTCCATTTATGCATCCATAAATTCAATACCACTTGAATGGGTATTGGATACTCATGTTGCCCAGTTTTTTTCCTTTTTCCAGAATTCAGGATATGATTTTTATTTTAGATTTCTTCAGATGCAATGAATGGTGCTTATCAAAGATCTGAGCTTAATTGAATATTTTCCTCTTGCACTATCTTCTGTTGTCTGCATTCTTTTCTAGAATTTAAGTTGTGTTTCAGGTCTCCTGAGAAAGAATGGACAATAACATAGTTTTTCTTTTGCATTTCAGATACCAGCCACTTAATGTGTGTATCTTTCACCCCTAGTTGTTTCACTGACCTCGAGAAAGAGAGAGATAGAACTCTCTCTCTCTCTTACTTAAGGTCAGTTTTTAATTGCTTTGTTTTGGATGTGCCTTATTTTATGTTTTTTTTTGTGCCACACAAGCATATATACAGTCCTGTGCAATACATTCTGTGTTCAAATTCCTATGCTTCATATTTTATAGATCTGGTCCCTGTTATAGTTGAGCATTTTTGCCAGAATAAAGCCTTATGAAATAGTCATTGATCAGCTTTGGTAATTTTCATAGTTTTCAGCAATCAAGTGTCTGTTGCAACTTTTCTAATATAGTAGATGTCACTCATTAATAATCATGTCCTATGAAAGTCATGGAAATATGAACATAAAAGTACCAGTCACATGTGCAGGTACAATAGATTCAATAAAGCATTCATTCTGTAAGATTTCCTGTTGGAATTTCATGTTACACACCTGTAGCACTGCCTACTGCCACATGCGCCCCCCCCCCCCTCCGACGCTACGCCGCTGAGCCTAATCGCAAATGAATTCGATTGTGGAATGGAATCAACACCTGATCTGTGTTGATTGAGAGCGGGTGCATGTTCACCGTTCATTTTCTAACAGATACCCAAGCAGCACATGGCGTCCATGCAACGTGATTTTGTGACCAATGCGACGTCGTCTCGACATCATAATGGACGTCGCAGCGACCTCACTACGTCCCAAAATGTATACGTTGCTGCGACGTTTAAAAAACGTCGCATTCCGATGTTCTGCGACGTCGATGGGACGTCATAACCCTGTCATTGTCCTTCATGAAATGCATCTCTATGATATCCTGTCCTATGTCTGGGACAGTAAAGACGTTGTTCTGCCAATGACTACTGATTACAGTACTTGTCAGAGGTAGAACCACCTCATTCGGTTCTGAGAAATGTCCGCGATATCAGTAGAGAGTATAGCTAGAGGCGCCACTCCGCTCAAATCCTATTCATTGACAAGGTCGCAATATATGATGCCACTGTCGATCCTCCACCTAACGTGCGCACATCAACAACTCCTCCATGGCCGAGCAGCGGACTCAACGAGGAGACACGCGTGTTTCGCTGAGGGATCCCTTTGGGTCGAATTCCCGAACGAGTCGATTCCCGATTCCGCTGCCACGAAGCATGCCTCATGGGAGTGCTGTTAATAACAAGCCACCAGATGTGTGTAATATTTCGATTTCACTGTTGGGCACAGCTCTGAAATGACGATGTCGCATAAAATCATTGCGGACCGCAAAACCTGCGAATTGAAAAGCTTTCATGACATTCTTTTCACTTTAGGGTCAAATTAATTACTCAGGTTTGCAAGTGCGAGCCCAAGCCTGGGAGGCGAGGGGGAAGAGAAGAGAAAAAGACTTTTACTACTGGAACAAGGTGTATACTAGCGAGTGGGAACCAAGGAATGAATACGTGAAGAAATCATGATTCATTGCACATGAACTGTACTTACTGACCTGCTGATGTTAAATTCAAGGGTCCCTTCCGCGATTTTCGTTCCTTTGAAGTTGAAGACGAATTATGTCAACCAGATGATTCACTGATGCCTTTCCAAATCGGTATTTCATGCGGAAGTTCTCATCATTTTCTTCAAAGTGATTAAACCTAGTACTGTTGTATATTTGTCCCAATCGAGGACGAGCATGTCGCTGATATTTAGCCACTCCATGCAGATAACCCATTGTGCTTCACCAGTTTGCTGCAGTACTGTACTGGTCAAGACGGTGCAAGAGCGCTGGTATAAATATCGGTAAAACATGCCCCATCCCTTGTCTGGAAATGAAACCTGTAACAGTTTCTTTTGCCATTGTTTAGACTGTGATTTACGGAAGAAAGTGTTCATGCAATTCAATTTTGGCCTAAGACGTCGGTTAACTAAAGTCACTTATTTATTTTTTTAATTAAAAGTTTATTAAATTCTTTTGCAACTTTCGAACAATGTTGACGTTTTGGACATTTACACATTGAAGCAACATCGTTAATAAACATTGTTAAAACGTTGCTGGAATATTTTGTGTTACTTGAGATATGAGCCACTTAGGGTAACTGAAGGTATTCTGGATCAATTTTACCAATCTTGGGTCACCCTAGGATTATTAAGCTAAAAAAAAATCCCCTAGTTGTTTCACTATTAGTCCTGAATTTTATAACACCCTGTATTTATTAGATGTCATCTTTCTAGTTTTCCGATGCCTTATGGACTTTTTTTTTACATTTACCTACATTTTATTTATATTTTTATTTTACATGTATTTAGATTTTGTTTTGCTGAGAGGATTGGCTTATCCTTTTTCGCGCACATGTTCGTGAATAAAGCAGTTCCTGGAGATAGAGTACTAGAGCACTCTCATTTTGCTGCAATACTAGGAATAAATTTGTTCTACGTCTGAATTTCATTTCTCATATACGAAGGACCTAAATTACGTTTTTCATACATGATTAAATGCAGAAAGGGAAGTGAGGAATATATGCTTGTGTACGTTCATAAGGCTTCATTAGTATTCATGTAATGAAGTTCGGAACTTGCTTTTGCTCTTTTCTCAAAATCATAGTTTGTGGACATAGATCAAAATAATCCTCATCCGACGATTTGATCGGACCCCTAAAGGACGACAACGGGGAGTTGACTAAAAGTAATGGAGGCATTACTGGGATACTAAACGCTTCCGTGCTAATTCATGAGCGAATCCAACCTTGTATCAGTGCTGGCGGAGGTCACCTCTGCGCGCATCGAAGATATTGCCATCATCGAGGACGAGATCACGAGTAAGATGAGGAAGTTACTAGTAAAGGCAAGCGCGGCAACCGGTCCCGATGGAATTCTGGCTCGTGTCGTAAAGAAACTCGGGAGGGCAGTATCGGTGCCATTAAGAATTATGTTCGAGAATAGCTTTTCGCGTGGAGAAGTGCCTAGGGACTGGACACTAGCGGATGTCGTACCAATCTTTATGAAGGGAGAAATGAGCAATTCTGGTAATTACAGGCCGGTGAATCTCACGAGTATTCCGGGAAAGATCATGGAAAGCATCCTAAAGGATCACATATTAGAATTCTTCGAGGGAACGCGCTTATCCGAAACTTTCAGCACGACTTTAGGAGGTGACGTCATTATCTTACCGATTTGCTCGAGGTTTATGATTGGGGGACAGAACAGTGGGATAAGGAGAATTCCGTAAACACCAACTATTGGTTTTCGCGAAAGGTTTCAATACCGTTTCTCGCAAAAGGTGGCGGACAAATTGGAGGCGCACAAGATCTATGGTAGGACGAGTTACTGGATTAGTAACTGGTTGCTGGGAAGAGAGCAGAGAGAAATGGTAAATGTATAAGTGCTGACGGAAGTTGGGGTCGCAAGTGGTATCCCTCAGGGCTCAGTCCTGGAACCGCTTCTTATTATGCATTATATTAACGATTTAGATCAAGTAAAATTCACAAATCTGCTGATGACACCAAAAAAGGTTCCTTCATTAGGGGAGATCGGAGAACAGGGCGAGAGCCGAGCAGGATTCACAGCTTTTGGACGAGTGGAGTAAGAAATTATTCATGAGGTTTACTATAAGCAAGTGTGAGTTTCTTCACATCGGTCATAACGATAATCTGCTTTTCTTATGGAAATGGTTCTAAAGGTACGCTCTATTATTACCATAGAGATGGGCAGAAGTTCATTTCACCTCCTGTGTATGGATATTCTAAATAACATCAGGAAAATAGATTTCCCACTCGATTAAAAACAGTTGAAAAAATAATACAGTCGAACTCGGTTATAACCGGCGTGCTGCGTGGCGTCGAATCTCGTATCGTCGAAGCCACTTTCGAACGAAAAGTCCCATCACTTAAGGTCGAATTAGTGTAGCGTCGAAACGCGTACGGTCGAAAATGGATTTTCTAGATATCAAGCTAAACTGAAGACAGCAGCAACGTTGCATGGAAACTCGTAGCGTCGAATCTCGTATCATTGGAAAAAATCAACCCCATGAAGCTACGGTGCGTCGAATGTCGTATGCACGAAATCACACGGCGTCGAATCTCTTATGCACGAAATCGCGTACCCTCGAAACTCCTGCGTCCGAAATCACGCAGCGTCGAATCTCGTTCACAAGATATCTCGTATCATCGAATCTCGTATCATCGAATCTCGCATCGTCGAATCTCGCATCGTCGAATCTCGCATCGTCGAATCTCGCATCGTCGAATCTCGCATCGTCGAATCTCGTATCGTCGAAAAAATCCGAATCTTGCAAGCAGAAAATCATGTAGTGTAGATTATCAGTAGGCACTTAGTCAAGTGTCATTGAGGAAAAACCACCCCACAAGGTTAAGCTGCGTCAATCTCGCAAACATAAAATCCTGCAAAATTGACATGCTTAGAAACGAGTTCATACCTCCAACGATCCATTTGTTATGGCACCACTGTTGAGCTGGTCAGCTTGAGCGTGTGGCGGTTGCTTGCGTCATTCACTGTTGGCGTGTCGTTGGTTATGCTTAGATGTGTCTCTTTTAACTTCGATGCTAACCCTCTCTGTGGCAGAGTCGAAGAGGTAATACTAAGAATGTCGCCAGTCACCATGAAAACCGTCTTCTCACGAGAAGAATAATAACGCTGTACTGCAGCTTGTACCTACCTAAGTACCTAGGCCTTAAAACTTTTTGATCACCTATCATACGCCCCCCCTTCAAGTGACCCTCGCGTAGTGTCGCACCTTTTTCCTTCCAAGAAGGAAAGAGCCTAAGCACAAACTGGCAAACATTAAGCTTATTTCCAGAAAATGTTTTACATATAAAATGAACAACAAACTAAATAAAACAGGTCACACCTTTATTTAATTGCATCTTGCAGTCATTAAATTAAATGAAAAATATGGTGCTGCTCTGGGTGCAAAAGTATCAAATATGGAATGAATGAAAAAATGCGAGAATTTATATCGTAATAAGTTAATAATGAGAAATAACGCTGCTAAGCTCATCTACCAAATGGCAAAGCCATTGTAGTAGTCTTCATTGCAGTACCTGTAGAATATGGTTTTTCGCATGGTAAGATGTGAAACATGGAAGAGTGCCTTGGTAGAGAGCAGCTAATATTATTTGATGGGAAAAGTTCTGCAGTTATTTCATTGGAGAAACAGATCCCGATTATATATCTTGAAAAACTCTGCTCCACATGAGAGACCAAGCTTTTTCAAGTTGCTCTGTTGTCCTTTCAAGTATTTTTTAATACTGTAGGAAACCGGTGCACCAACACTTCCGTAAGTAGTTAAGTTACAGCGTAAACAGACCCACAATCCAATTCTGGGAAG